AAATCAACCAAATCATTACTGTAAACAGTTCCGTGAATGCTGCTATCTCCGAGACTTATAGTTCACAAAAAAATAACTCTTGCATGCCTTCCGTGCCTATGTTTAGACTCAGGTTCTCCCACGGAAGCCTGAATAATTCACCAATCAGGAGTGCGTATTTTCTTGCAAGTCGATTTGGAAGTAATTGTCGTTCAAGAGATGAAGAGGATTTATTTGCATGTTTTCTTGCCTGCTTTCATGTAAAGTAGGGTGGAAACATTTGCAATTATTCAAGTTTACTCAACTTACTGTTGTTGACCACACTTTCTCAAACTCATTAATAATTCATAAGGTCAACTACCAACCACAAGATGTATACCACATCACGTGCATGTGTTTGGATACCCAATGAAAAACAGTATACCACTTTCCAGTGAGAGTGGTATATACCACTAAAATATGCACAATGACAACTTGCACAAAATCAATGAATATTTATTACTCAGTAGTAAGCTTTTACAATGTGTCTCCTTTTGTTTTCAAAGTCACACCCATTCACGTTGCTACTTTCATTTCTGCATCCAAAACACGCCGCACATGTAATAGTGTGAACAATAGTATTAGATAATGCAATATCCCTAAGTCATTGAACAATGGAGAGCAAAAACACACTCAAATGCAGGGTAGAATGTTTTGCAAATCCACCCAAATGCCAGAAACTACAACAAAATAGAGGAACACAACTAGGAATTTTGCAAAAGAAATCAAGAACTGGCAAAACAAATCATCTGCTTTCTATTGAGGCATGATGGATACTTGACTTGAAACTGAAGTTTGAGTTTCATTCAGGCATGTTCAACCACATGTAGGTATTGTCTGAGAACAAAGTTTTAAGACTGACGACACCTTTCGTTTATGTGGGAGTATTAAAATGTAATTAAACAACATTAACAGACCAGCTCTGTACAATTATGTAGTTCATCACTAATATAATATAGTAAAACAGTCGCACATCCTCTTTGACTTTCAAGGCAGGAACAAACAGGTCAAAAAGCAGGCTTATTCCTTTTCTGCATGTTGTAAAAAAACACTGACAAAATATTTTGACTGAAAAATATATTTTTTCTTTGGAGTCCTGCACAATTGTGGTTAGTATGACATTACAGGTTAGGAAAGTTAAATGACCTCCTTGTGATGCAATTATAGCTATTAAAAGAGGTCTATCTCATATTAAACCCACCGTGTTAGGTAATCACACTGATAAATAACAGACTTAAAAATTAAGAGCAAAGTATCTATCATACCAGTACTTGTAGATAGCAAACATAAATATTTTCCTTGTAGAGAATTGGCTAGCATTTGTTTAGAATAGCACCAGTGTCAGTCATTAGACAATGGAAACTGAACAGTTGGATTGACCTTCCCACACTTACTTGATGCTATGCTTTAGGTGGGAAAACAGCTGCACTCTACTTTGTTTTCTGCTAACTTTCACTCTCTTTAATCTAATAGTGAAGCTCGTGCAGTCCTGCCATTGGAAGTAAAGACAACAAGGTTGATTAAACATAATCATCAAAATAAAGACAATGGCTTAATTTTCCTTTTTACAACACTAACTTCCAAGTAACATGTGGATAGACCTATTTTCTAGCTTTACTTACAATGACAAAAAGATCACATCATAAATGTATGAAATCTGAATTGAAAATCTTTCATGCAAGTTTTACTGGCTGGGAGATTTTCTCTGTTTATCAATGCAGCTATCTAAAGCTTAAATCCACCCAATTAATGGAAGACTGCAAAATTTTGATTGACAATGTTAGGTATGGCTGACAAAGCTGCTTGGAAACTCCTGAATATGTACGACATTTGCTTACAATTAATTTTTGCATCCATGGGATCTAAAAACATCAGTCTCCAGAGCAATAGTATGATCTGAAATGGGACAAAAAAACAAACAAACTCCACTGGGTCTATTCACTCATCCAAGTGTTTTTTTTTTTTTTTCATTTCATTCTCGATCTATAAAGTCTTTTAAACTGTCAATGTCCTGTGTGGGGCAGAAACTGAAGTGCTTCAGCATAAGTGAACCAGACAAATGTTACTGTTAGTCAAGATGGAAAAACATCAGTCACCAGCAAGTCCTTAAAACTAGGCTTATCCACTGCCAGCTGCTAGCATCAACCAACTACATAAACTAGTTGGGTTAAATTAAGCTGCCACTTAGATTGTATCCACATTGTTCATACAGACGTCTGTCTACAGATGTTTTTGTTTGAGATTTTTTAGGCCTGGACAATTCAGCAATTTAGTTTTAATCAGGATAACATTGGTCTGTGTTGGTGGGAAGTGGGGAGTTGCAAAATACAAAATACCCGAAAACCTTGTTGAGGTTGGATGCTTTGATAATTCAAATAATAGTCACTTGTTGTTATAATGAATCTGGTACACTGTACCCCCAAAATCAAAAGAAATAAAAAATAAGTTCTTCTCAACTTCTCCATGTCTACCTTGCTTCCTAAGTTATACTGCTGTGACAAAATATTGTTTAAATGTTGCCTTTGGTCTAACTAGCATTCATGAACTTCTCAAGAAAATTCAAGGCTATGGGCGCTTTCCATTCGACCAAAAATTCCGGTGTGAATTATCGGAAATTTCCACGGGCGAATGGTACACAGTTTTGTTCGCTTGGATTTTTTCAATGACTTCGAGGTTAAAATCACAAATATAGAAGTAAACAAAACACTGATATGTCGACATCGTGGCTTTTTATAGACCAACGGCAGCGAAAAAGTCGCAAAACAAAGGGTTTAATTAGTCGCACAATGGTTCTGCACGCGTTATAAATCTTTGTACATTTCCTAGCCAACCTATGCAAAACAAACAACTTCACCATGGGGACATTATTTTTATCACTTGCTTTCTTCACGAATTTAACTGTAGCTAGTATTTCTCGACATATAAGTGGAAAGATTCTAAAGTATTTCCATTTTCGAATACGCGTCACCGTCATCCTTGCGTGAGATGTCAAACTCGCTGTGATTGAGGCCAAAAGAACTAGCGGTGAATAGAAAATTGCGAATTTGCATAATTTCCGACCTCTTGAGGTATACCCAAATTGTCGAACATATTTTGCTGGAAATTTCCGTTCCATTTGATTTTCTGAATTTTCAGTTGAATGGTTCGCTTTTCGGAAATTCAACAATTTCCGGATTTTCTGGGGCCTTTCCCTGGAAATTTCCATACCATTTGTCCCCGTTTCGAAAATTTCGGAAATTTTGGTACGCACTTGTACCCAAGGAACAACTGGTAAACAACAACCAGCTGGTCAACAGTTGACCACGGGAACCTCATTTCCAAAAGGAATGAAGTACTCCATTTAAGACAAGTAACAGGTTTCCACTTACACAGTTAAAACATTTGAGCTTACCTTATCGTTGCATTCATTTGTTTTTCATTGGTTTTCCCAAAACGAGCGTTGCAAAGCTGTGTCATGTCAAACTAACCTTGCAGTAGACGACAGCAGCTACAGTGTTAAACAGATATATCAAAGTTACCTTCAGTTTACCGTAAACTAAATATTAGCAACAAATTTGGTAAAAAGTACGATAAATAGAACTGACCTCAACACGTGTTTTTTTAAATCTCCCGCGAGCAAAATCCTTCAGCGTTTCTTCTACCCAGAGAGCCCCGCGTGGATGCGTGGTCAGTCTTATTTGTCAGCGGTTTGCCTCAAGGAAAGGAAAATAGGCACACTTTGTTCCTCTTTATATGACGCAAATTTTGTTTCTCGCTTCAGTTCAGACATGGCGTTGCTCGTTTACAACTCTTGAATTTGCTTGTTTTTTTAGCTCTCGGCCTGATGTATTATAATTTCTGGTGGAAAAATGCAGCAGGAAAGGCAGGGGGAAATTGAACATGAGGTTTCGATGGAAGAAAGTACTGGACCATTGCTTTTCAACAAACTCAAGGTACAACGACAATAATACGCCTCTCAAAGAGTAGCTTGTTTAAAGCCTGTACTCCCAGATATCGGGACCAATAACCTTCGACTTAATGATCGCGGAGGGCTTGTTTACATTTGTAAGCCGCTGACCACAAAAACGATAACCTTATTCAAACAACATCTTTAATATCTGCCAATAAATACACTATAAAAGAACAAATTATGGTAAATTCTCAAAAACGTTTAGAGGATTACAGTTGTGGAATGGCTTACTAACCGAATTGAAGAGAACGAGGAAGAGGACTCGAGATATCGTAACAACAAGTATGACTCTAATTGTGAAGGCGGAAACGATAGTTTCGTAACAGTTGCGTTGTTCATGTTTTAATCCTTTTCAGTTTCAAAATTTACTTAAAATTCTATAATCAATCTTACATAAAGCTGTGTAAAGGGAATGCTTATCAGTTCAGTTTGGACTACTGTGTATTTGCTCGGGTGAGTTTTGACTCATTCTAGCGTAAAACTGAGAACTTTATGAAAGAGAGTCTTCCTCCATTTTCTTTTCGATCATTGTTGAACAAATTGATACAATTGATAGCTAATTACAGAAATTGATCAAAATCGATAGTCACAAAGACGCGAGTGATCGATTTCTATCGATTTCCAATATTAATCGATTGATTAGTATCGATTACGATCGATTACGTTCGATTTCTATTGAGTATCAAAATTATCGATTAGATACGCCCTGCTGTATATAGCGGTCACCCTGTGTATAACGGTCACTGAACAACTTCCCAAAAATCGTCCCTTATATGTACTGTTAAGTTGACCTGCATATAGCGGTCACCTGTATAAAACGGACGCGGTCACTCGTTAGACTTCCTAAATCCACAATTTCATTATCTTTTTCCTGTATATAACGGTCAGGAAACTGGGTTACGATTAACGAATAATGCCAAGCTTTATTCATCCCCTCATTAAATAGCAGTCACCAAGGCTGGGGCCACACAAAAATACAAATGTTAGTACTAAACACAATTACTAATACATGAACATGACGAACTTTCTTTCGCACTGAGTAAAGTTAATGACATAGTACATGAAATCAAGCTTTGACAATAACAACAACAACAACAACCATTTATTTGTACTCACAATTTATAAATTAATTACAATAAACATTAAATTAGTATAGAGTACTGCCTGCCCAAAAGCTCCGAAATATCATAAAATTATAACAATTTTTTTTCTTCTTGAAATCCATATTGTTACTTTGAAAGCTTTTCCTACACGGAAACTTAGATCCAAGTATCTTGCACCTCCCTTAAAGTACACCATGGACATTTTGTGGCCTTTTTTATCGTGTTTATTGCATTGCTGTTACTCGTTATTGTCAATAAAACATTAATTGAGTGACTATTCTACATAAAAATGCTATTTATTGACTTCCAGAGAGGAAACGTGTGCAGCGGTCACCTGGCCATTTCTCAGTGGTGACCATTATATACAGGTTTGACTGTATTCAAGGTTTTAGCCTAAAAGATTAGGTTATGCAAGACCTGCATGCATTAATTTGTATCAAAGTTACCTTGCTTTTGTAAGTAAGCTTCATGATGTTTCAATTTTTTTTTCTTTCTGACACCAAACTCAGTTCTCCAAACGTTACTCCATTTTTCTATTTCCTTGTTTTCGACCAGTAGCTAATGCGAGCCTTATACAATATTTTAATTGCTATTAGATTATGGAATAGGTACCAAAGCCCAAAATCAAACCATGTGTACTAAGTAATTGAAATTAGACCGAATGGAGTACAATTCAGGGAGTAATCGCGCGAGTAATTTAAAAATAGGACAAGCGCGAAGCACAAGGCTGATTGGAATTACAAGCACGATTACTCCCTGAATTGTAGGACACTAAGTCCAGTTACTAATTAATTGTATCTCTAACAAATTTCGAAACTAACAATGTCTTTTGACAACTTCTTTTGAGGGAAAACGTATGTAGCGCGTTTCATCAGTTTTGAAAACTGTACGAAACATTGCAAAGAAAGCCATTAAAGCGTACACAATTGATGTGTGAATCACGTCGGTATCCAATTACATCTGTCCAATTAAAAAAAGTTCAAATTGGATACCTGTAATTGGACACCCACCTGATGATGCGCTGATTACCTGGCAAATAGGCACGCGGAGAACCAATCACGATCAAGAATTTTGTTATAGATACTGTAAGGGACTGCATGTCAATATGTAAGTACTAAGATACATCTGATATCTGGCCAGTTAGTTAATCAGACCCCATCTAAATGGACACAATTAATTAAACACATTTTCGTTGTTAATTGCATATAATGAGAATTATACTAGGGCGGCAAAGTGGCCTGAAGTTATAATTCAAATTATATGAGCAGATGAAGTGAGAAATATATGAGCTTCCCACCCTTCTTCCCTCCCTCTTATGAGGTCTCTCTTTTGCCTGTCTATTCCATTGTGTCAAAAAGCCACCAAAGCATCATGGGACGACAAGATCTAGGACCCAGCGCCTTGTGGGTATACCCAGGCCTCTTTTATTGTTTCTTTAGGAGGGTTCGCCCTTCTGTTGGCGTTAAAAAGTCATTTGAAGCACTAACCGGGAAATTCCTACAATTTGTTGTGTCATATATTTCAAACGGAGTCTGTGAAATATAATATGCCTGCTCAAAAGCGAGATCAATCATTTATACCAAATGTATTGAAAACTTTGAAAATTATTTCATTACAGGAGCATGGAATAAGTGCAAATGATGTCAAAAAGCTACAATAAGCTGGATTTCACACCATCGAGTCAGTAGCATACACACCGAAAAAAGCCCTGCTTGCTATCAAAGGAATAAGGGAAGCTACGTGTAAAGCTGAAAAAGTGCTCAATGAAGCTTCTAAACTGGTGCCTGTGGGGTTCACAACTGCCACGGAATTCCACCAACAGAGATCAGAGCATGTATATATCACTACAGGCTCAAAGGAGCTGGATAAACTAATGCAAGGTATGCCTCATGCAAGAGTGTTATTTCTTACTTATAACGATTAAGTAATTAGCAAAGCAACATGAAAATGTATGGCAGCATGCCTAAACTGGTCTGTCTCACCTTGTATGTTCTGTTCTTCTAACAAATTGTTCAGTCAAAGATAATTATATGATATTTGATACTGATATGTAATCTGATGGAGATTCTTGTAATGTCTTTGATGAGTTACATTGTTGTATTATGATAACATTTTACAAGTTGTTTTTTTTACTAATTTTCACTAATCACTTCAAAACCTTCAGGAGCTTGAAGTGAAACCATCAAATGAATTAAATGTAAGATTCAGGTCTGAATTTCATTGTGGACATATTGGGCATGTGCTGTTCAGCACGTACATGTATGCAAATTTAAGTTTGTCTACTTTTCACTGGGTGGTACATAAAGGGGGAAACTGAACATGTTACTTTTGTCGAAAGAAACATGTAACAAACAAGACAGCATTTTCTGAAAGCACACATCAATGCTCTTTTTGGTTATGAAATTTTTTTCATGCACAAAATAGTGGGGAACTGTAAAGGGATAACATTTCATTTAGCATAACAATACATTGGTGGTTTGTCGTTGTATGTATACTTACAAACTTACCACTACAGAAATAATTAGATGAGAAAGATATAATAATAATAATATAATAATAAGAATCTTTATACAGGACGCTCCACTCACAAATGTGGTTTTCAGGGAGGTCCTGAAATAAAAATGATGGCAATCAAAAAAATCAAATGAAACCAAAATTATTACAGCATTCATTAAAAACTTCTTAAAGCTAAAAAATATATAACTAAAGATATATTTATTTCCTTCGACATTTAAACCATCCGTTTTTAGTAGTCTAATTTTGCCAACAACAGTTTACAGTATTGTTCAGATAGTTGTTTTGCTTTTGAAACATTTGTACAGCGCCTGTCTGTGAAGAAGTCTCAACAGTTTTTACAGTGACGTCTTGGGGGTCTCGATATTTTTCCAAGGAAGTCTCAGAGAAAAACAGAGTCCTGAAAGTCTTTTTGGGAACTGGAGCTTTTTTGAAACTAGTTTAAGTACAGTATAATCACCAATGTTATGTATTAAAGAGAGTTGCTTGTGTTGTGCTTTCAAGTCTTGCTAGTAATTCTATTGTTATTGGACCTACCTGAAATTTTCGCGACACATCAATTTTGCGAATTTTGCGATTTAAAAAAAACACAAAATTAAAGTGTCGCGAATAACACATTATGTTACTGTTGACATATAATACCACCATTGTGTTTTTGCTACTTTTGACGTTATTGTACCTTTGATAGAGTCAGTTTACAAAATTCAAAGACATGTTTAAGTAAGATTGCCAAGGAAATAAATTTTGTATTACTCAAAACGCGAAGTTAAAGTGATTCAAAATTCAATTTTTTTTGCAAAATCACCAAATTTAAGTGTCGCAAATATGTGCACCCCCAAATCGCGAAATGAACATATTGCAAAAATTTCATGTAAGAAGGTAGCCAACCACAATGCTTGGCTAGTAAAACAAGGTTTTGGCTAGTAACATCTAAGTTATCACTAGCCACTAGGGTAATCAGTTGAAAAGTTTGTGTCAAGCCCTGAATTGGTTAACAAATTCTTTATGGCAGCACTTTTTATCCACTTTGTTGTAAGTTCATTGTATAGGTTACCAGACATATGTCACTACAATAAAGAACATTAGAGTGTAAGCTTTTCAGTGCTACCTAAATGAATGTGGTTTTGTTTTGAACCAGTTGCATGGTTTTAGTTTGAAAATAGACCACCTCGGTTTGTTTAGATTGACATTCGAAACCACTTGCGTTCGAGCTTCCTTCACGTGCGAGCATTCTTTAGCCTGAACGTTGTACTTTTTATATTTGGACACCACCATGCTTTGCCTTGTACATTATTTGTGGAAAGTTCACATCATTTTCAAGAATTTGTAATTCACAAAAAAGTGAAGCTGATGCCAAAAAACTTAAGCTAGACTGCTGGGCTGTAGAACCAGCAAAGCTATTGAAATATCCTGTGAGACGGAGTGAGAACATATCCCACTGTAGTAAAAATATGTTTGTTCTGAGTTTTCTTGTATCGGAAACAGTCATATATTATTTATTAACGTTGTTTATTTACTGTGGCTTAAAAGCTTTATCTGGTACACTATCCAGAACGAAATTATGTTGATCATAAATATTATTGTCTGTGATCTCTCGCAGTCTTCTTAAACATTTCTCTCGCCACCAAGAAAAGGGTAGGAAAGTTCTGTGCAGATGTCTACTTCCCGGTGAAGTAGTGTCGCCAAGATCTCAGACAAGCGGCCAAAAAGACAAGAAAGGTAGTGTAGGATTTACAAGTTTTTTTTCATCATAAAGTTTTCTGAAATTCAATTTAAAAATACCAATGGATTAAAAGTGTCGCAACCTTGTAGTGGCAATGCACTGATGTTAAAACTCCGGAAAACTCAGACAGGGAGCTTTCAAGCTCAAGGAGTTGTGTTTCCAACAGAAGAGAGAAAGAGGTAATTGTTTTTTCCAAATCTGTTTCGTTCATCCAATCGTTCAGAGTTTTGAGCGTTCTTCCCTCCAAATATATGTTGCATTTCAGAAGCTCAGAAGAATAACTAAAAGACAAAGAGGAAACGATGACATGGAGGCAAGAGAAAGAAACAAAAAGAAAAAATAAATTTGTAGACTGCTTTAAAATACTTTTTTTTTCTCATTTGCATATATTTTTCAAGATAATTTTCATGTACATGCACATTCAAACTAATAAATTTTCAGTGCAGAATTACTACATGACATAACCTCATTACAGTATTTTCTGGTAAACTTCTTGGAGAAAATGGATCCCTCACATTCTGGGGCTTTTTTTGACCATTTCTTTTCTTTTCTATAACTAAATCAGATTTAGCTTCAAAAGAGTTCATTTTCTGTAAAAGGAGGTAGTTGTGAAACCTGCAGAATGTCAACTCCACAAACTCAACAAATCTTGCATGCAGAGAACTTGTTTTTCTCCTTATAAATGGATTGTATGGCAGACATCCTGAGGAATCACAAACACAAAAGGAAGACAAACTGAAAGGATGAGTGGGGACAGGGAGAAAGATGGCATTTTGATGAAGAAAAATGTAACTGCTTTTGATGCAAGTTTGACTCTATATCAAAATGGCCATACACCAGTAAAAACCACTGAAATGAATGAGGGATCTTTGAGTGTCGAAAAGTACTTGATTTTGCATCAACTAAGTTACATGGTTGGCTTCAAATTCTCTTGCCACTTTTCCATCCAGACAGAGGTTAAACCAAAACCAATTGTGACTCACTTGCACACATTTTCCCATCCTTCATTTCAGCTACATGTAATGAATGTGTTTTCATTGGCTTATTGTATTCTCTGTGACCTTTGTGACTGACTAGAGTTTTTAAAATATTAGTTTGCCTTTTACAACACTCAATTTAAAAGTACTTTTGTCATGAATTAACGTGACTCAAAACAGTTTCCAGCACTTAGAATTTGATGGGTCGGTATAACCNAATCGATAGTCACAAAGACGCGAGTGATCGATTTCTATCGATTTCCAATATTAATCGATTGATTAGTATCGATTACGATCGATTACGTTCGATTTCTATTGAGTATCAAAATTATCGATTAGATACGCCCTGCTGTATATAGCGGTCACCCTGTGTATAACGGTCACTGAACAACTTCCCAAAAATCGTCCCTTATATGTACTGTTAAGTTGACCTGCATATAGCGGTCACCTGTATAAAACGGACGCGGTCACTCGTTAGACTTCCTAAATCCACAATTTCATTATCTTTTTCCTGTATATAACGGTCAGGAAACTGGGTTACGATTAACGAATAATGCCAAGCTTTATTCATCCCCTCATTAAATAGCAGTCACCAAGGCTGGGGCCACACAAAAATACAAATGTTAGTACTAAACACAATTACTAATACATGAACATGACGAACTTTCTTTCGCACTGAGTAAAGTTAATGACATAGTACATGAAATCAAGCTTTGACAATAACAACAACAACAACAACCATTTATTTGTACTCACAATTTATAAATTAATTACAATAAACATTAAATTAGTATAGAGTACTGCCTGCCCAAAAGCTCCGAAATATCATAAAATTATAACAATTTTTTTTCTTCTTGAAATCCATATTGTTACTTTGAAAGCTTTTCCTACACGGAAACTTAGATCCAAGTATCTTGCACCTCCCTTAAAGTACACCATGGACATTTTGTGGCCTTTTTTATCGTGTTTATTGCATTGCTGTTACTCGTTATTGTCAATAAAACATTAATTGAGTGACTATTCTACATAAAAATGCTATTTATTGACTTCCAGAGAGGAAACGTGTGCAGCGGTCACCTGGCCATTTCTCAGTGGTGACCATTATATACAGGTTTGACTGTATTCAAGGTTTTAGCCTAAAAGATTAGGTTATGCAAGACCTGCATGCATTAATTTGTATCAAAGTTACCTTGCTTTTGTAAGTAAGCTTCATGATGTTTCAATTTTTTTTTCTTTCTGACACCAAACTCAGTTCTCCAAACGTTACTCCATTTTTCTATTTCCTTGTTTTCGACCAGTAGCTAATGCGAGCCTTATACAATATTTTAATTGCTATTAGATTATGGAATAGGTACCAAAGCCCAAAATCAAACCATGTGTACTAAGTAATTGAAATTAGACCGAATGGAGTACAATTCAGGGAGTAATCGCGCGAGTAATTTAAAAATAGGACAAGCGCGAAGCACAAGGCTGATTGGAATTACAAGCACGATTACTCCCTGAATTGTAGGACACTAAGTCCAGTTACTAATTAATTGTATCTCTAACAAATTTCGAAACTAACAATGTCTTTTGACAACTTCTTTTGAGGGAAAACGTATGTAGCGCGTTTCATCAGTTTTGAAAACTGTACGAAACATTGCAAAGAAAGCCATTAAAGCGTACACAATTGATGTGTGAATCACGTCGGTATCCAATTACATCTGTCCAATTAAAAAAAGTTCAAATTGGATACCTGTAATTGGACACCCACCTGATGATGCGCTGATTACCTGGCAAATAGGCACGCGGAGAACCAATCACGATCAAGAATTTTGTTATAGATACTGTAAGGGACTGCATGTCAATATGTAAGTACTAAGATACATCTGATATCTGGCCAGTTAGTTAATCAGACCCCATCTAAATGGACACAATTAATTAAACACATTTTCGTTGTTAATTGCATATAATGAGAATTATACTAGGGCGGCAAAGTGGCCTGAAGTTATAATTCAAATTATATGAGCAGATGAAGTGAGAAATATATGAGCTTCCCACCCTTCTTCCCTCCCTCTTATGAGGTCTCTCTTTTGCCTGTCTATTCCATTGTGTCAAAAAGCCACCAAAGCATCATGGGACGACAAGATCTAGGACCCAGCGCCTTGTGGGTATACCCAGGCCTCTTTTATTGTTTCTTTAGGAGGGTTCGCCCTTCTGTTGGCGTTAAAAAGTCATTTGAAGCACTAACCGGGAAATTCCTACAATTTGTTGTGTCATATATTTCAAACGGAGTCTGTGAAATATAATATGCCTGCTCAAAAGCGAGATCAATCATTTATACCAAATGTATTGAAAACTTTGAAAATTATTTCATTACAGGAGCATGGAATAAGTGCAAATGATGTCAAAAAGCTACAATAAGCTGGATTTCACACCATCGAGTCAGTAGCATACACACCGAAAAAAGCCCTGCTTGCTATCAAAGGAATAAGGGAAGCTACGTGTAAAGCTGAAAAAGTGCTCAATGAAGCTTCTAAACTGGTGCCTGTGGGGTTCACAACTGCCACGGAATTCCACCAACAGAGATCAGAGCATGTATATATCACTACAGGCTCAAAGGAGCTGGATAAACTAATGCAAGGTATGCCTCATGCAAGAGTGTTATTTCTTACTTATAACGATTAAGTAATTAGCAAAGCAACATGAAAATGTATGGCAGCATGCCTAAACTGGTCTGTCTCACCTTGTATGTTCTGTTCTTCTAACAAATTGTTCAGTCAAAGATAATTATATGATATTTGATACTGATATGTAATCTGATGGAGATTCTTGTAATGTCTTTGATGAGTTACATTGTTGTATTATGATAACATTTTACAAGTTGTTTTTTTTACTAATTTTCACTAATCACTTCAAAACCTTCAGGAGCTTGAAGTGAAACCATCAAATGAATTAAATGTAAGATTCAGGTCTGAATTTCATTGTGGACATATTGGGCATGTGCTGTTCAGCACGTACATGTATGCAAATTTAAGTTTGTCTACTTTTCACTGGGTGGTACATAAAGGGGGAAACTGAACATGTTACTTTTGTCGAAAGAAACATGTAACAAACAAGACAGCATTTTCTGAAAGCACACATCAATGCTCTTTTTGGTTATGAAATTTTTTTCATGCACAAAATAGTGGGGAACTGTAAAGGGATAACATTTCATTTAGCATAACAATACATTGGTGGTTTGTCGTTGTATGTATACTTACAAACTTACCACTACAGAAATAATTAGATGAGAAAGATATAATAATAATAATATAATAATAAGAATCTTTATACAGGACGCTCCACTCACAAATGTGGTTTTCAGGGAGGTCCTGAAATAAAAATGATGGCAATCAAAAAAATCAAATGAAACCAAAATTATTACAGCATTCATTAAAAACTTCTTAAAGCTAAAAAATATATAACTAAAGATATATTTATTTCCTTCGACATTTAAACCATCCGTTTTTAGTAGTCTAATTTTGCCAACAACAGTTTACAGTATTGTTCAGATAGTTGTTTTGCTTTTGAAACATTTGTACAGCGCCTGTCTGTGAAGAAGTCTCAACAGTTTTTACAGTGACGTCTTGGGGGTCTCGATATTTTTCCAAGGAAGTCTCAGAGAAAAACAGAGTCCTGAAAGTCTTTTTGGGAACTGGAGCTTTTTTGAAACTAGTTTAAGTACAGTATAATCACCAATGTTATGTATTAAAGAGAGTTGCTTGTGTTGTGCTTTCAAGTCTTGCTAGTAATTCTATTGTTATTGGACCTACCTGAAATTTTCGCGACACATCAATTTTGCGAATTTTGCGATTTAAAAAAAACACAAAATTAAAGTGTCGCGAATAACACATTATGTTACTGTTGACATATAATACCACCATTGTGTTTTTGCTACTTTTGACGTTATTGTACCTTTGATAGAGTCAGTTTACAAAATTCAAAGACATGTTTAAGTAAGATTGCCAAGGAAATAAATTTTGTATTACTCAAAACGCGAAGTTAAAGTGATTCAAAATTCAATTTTTTTTGCAAAATCACCAAATTTAAGTGTCGCAAATATGTGCACCCCCAAATCGCGAAATGAACATATTGCAAAAATTTCATGTAAGAAGGTAGCCAACCACAATGCTTGGCTAGTAAAACAAGGTTTTGGCTAGTAACATCTAAGTTATCACTAGCCACTAGGGTAATCAGTTGAAAAGTTTGTGTCAAGCCCTGAATTGGTTAACAAATTCTTTATGGCAGCACTTTTTATCCACTTTGTTGTAAGTTCATTGTATAGGTTACCAGACATATGTCACTACAATAAAGAACATTAGAGTGTAAGCTTTTCAGTGCTACCTAAATGAATGTGGTTTTGTTTTGAACCAGTTGCATGGTTTTAGTTTGAAAATAGACCACCTCGGTTTGTTTAGATTGACATTCGAAACCACTTGCGTTCGAGCTTCCTTCACGTGCGAGCATTCTTTAGCCTGAACGTTGTACTTTTTATATTTGGACACCACCATGCTTTGCCTTGTACATTATTTGTGGAAAGTTCACATCATTTTCAAGAATTTGTAATTCACAAAAAAGTGAAGCTGATGCCAAAAAACTTAAGCTAGACTGCTGGGCTGTAGAACCAGCAAAGCTATTGAAATATCCTGTGAGACGGAGTGAGAACATATCCCACTGTAGTAAAAATATGTTTGTTCTGAGTTTTCTTGTATCGGAAACAGTCATATATTATTTATTAACGTTGTTTATTTACTGTGGCTTAAAAGCTTTATCTGGTACACTATCCAGAACGAAATTATGTTGATCATAAATATTATTGTCTGTGATCTCTCGCAGTCTTCTTAAACATTTCTCTCGCCACCAAGAAAAGGGTAGGAAAGTTCTGTGCAGATGTCTACTTCCCGGTGAAGTAGTGTCGCCAAGATCTCAGACAAGCGGCCAAAAAGACAAGAAAGGTAGTGTAGGATTTACAAGTTTTTTTTCATCATAAAGTTTTCTGAAATTCAATTTAAAAATACCAATGGATTAAAAGTGTCGCAACCTTGTAGTGGCAATGCACTGATGTTAAAACTCCGGAAAACTCAGACAGGGAGCTTTCAAGCTCAAGGAGTTGTGTTTCCAACAGAAGAGAGAAAGAGGTAATTGTTTTTTCCAAATCTGTTTCGTTCATCCAATCGTTCAGAGTTTTGAGCGTTCTTCCCTCCAAATATATGTTGCATTTCAGAAGCTCAGAAGAATAACTAAAAGACAAAGAGGAAACGATGACATGGAGGCAAGAGAAAGAAACAAAAAGAAAAAATAAATTTGTAGACTGCTTTAAAATACTTTTTTTTTCTCATTTGCATATATTTTTCAAGATAATTTTCATGTACATGCACATTCAAACTAATAAATTTTCAGTGCAGAATTACTACATGACATAACCTCATTACAGTATTTTCTGGTAAACTTCTTGGAGAAAATGGATCCCTCACATTCTGGGGCTTTTTTTGACCATTTCTTTTCTTTTCTATAACTAAATCAGATTTAGCTTCAAAAGAGTTCATTTTCTGTAAAAGGAGGTAGTTGTGAAACCTGCAGAATGTCAACTCCACAAACTCAACAAATCTTGCATGCAGAGAACTTGTTTTTCTCCTTATAAATGGATTGTATGGCAGACATCCTGAGGAATCACAAACACAAAAGGAAGACAAACTGAAAGGATGAGTGGGGACAGGGAGAAAGATGGCATTTTGATGAAGAAAAATGTAACTGCTTTTGATGCAAGTTTGACTCTATATCAAAATGGCCATACACCAGTAAAAACCACTGAAATGAATGAGGGATCTTTGAGTGTCGAAAAGTACTTGATTTTGCATCAACTAAGTTACATGGTTGGCTTCAAATTCTCTTGCCACTTTTCCATCCAGACAGAGGTTAAACCAAAACCAATTGTGACTCACTTGCACACATTTTCCCATCCTTCATTTCAGCTACATGTAATGAATGTGTTTTCATTGGCTTATTGTATTCTCTGTGACCTTTGTGACTGACTAGAGTTTTTAAAATATTAGTTTGCCTTTTACAACACTCAATTTAAAAGTACTTTTGTCATGAATTAACGTGACTCAAAACAGTTTCCAGCACTTAGAATTTGATGGGTCGGTATAACCACTCTTTATCACTTGATGCGGCAATCATGGCATCAAAAAACTGCCCAATCATTGGTGAACATGTTGTCATTTCAGCTTTAGGGGCTTATAATTCGAAAACAGCACAGTAATTTTTTTGTAATATTATCAAATTTTAATAAGCATAATAAGATGCAGCTTTTGGCAAAGTTTAAAAAATTCTGTATGTAGGGGTTAGAGCCACCTTAAATTATCAAAACTTTAAGGTGGCTCTGATTTCTATGTACGGATTATTTTAAACCGTTGCCAAAAGTTGCGTCTTATCATACTTGTTAAAATTTGATAATATAAAAAAATTCACAGTCCTGTTTTCAATTATAAGCTCCTAAAGCTGAAACTAAGGGTGTTTTTAGCAGATCATACTGTTGCTATGGTAACCTATTGGGTCATAAAATTGATAACAACATGATCAGCAATGATTGAGCAGTTTTTTGATATTATGACTGTAGCATCAAGTGGTAAAGAGTGGTTATACTGACCCATCAAAATCTAAGTGTTGGAAACTGTTTTGAGCCGGTAAAACCTGAAAAATCCCAATCATTTTTACATTTAGATGTCTTTCGTGGAGTTACATCTTTGCCTATGATATCTTGACCAGAAGCTCTTAATCCGGTTTTCCTTTAGTTTGTTTCCTGCACCTAATTTTTGGAGCATTTCGTCTTGGCACATTGCAGCTCTATATTGTTTGTTCCTCTCACCAACACCCTTAAGGTAGCACACAATCATTGTTTCCTTGTGTAGTTCACTAAAGCGCTAGTTAGTTCTAGAAGAGTGGTTAGATTTGTCAGGCCTACCAGGCATTGAGTTGAGTCAGCTCTTCTCTTCAGTGCTTAAATCTGATCCTTCAGTTCTTGACTGCTTACATTTATTTAGATTAGCTACATGGTGATCTGTCTCGCATGGAGTGTTCCACTCTTTTACAGATTATCCTATTTCTCTGCCTGTTTGTGTATGCCTTTCGACTTAGATTTAATTGCCATTAAATTGTAATAAATAAATAAATGAATAAATACTTTTTGTTTTATCAAAGAAACCGTGTTTTTGATTGGATCTTCATCGCATGTACTTGTAGACTTAGAACAAGATCCATTTTCTTTGTGCCTCATTAAATTTCCTTTTTGCAGGAAAGATTTGCCACAGTTACAGCAGGTGTTATTTCCATGTAATGCAGTCAATGCAGTTGAGCTACTTGGTGTGCCTAAATAAGATTTCAGATTTTCAGATTTTCAGATTTTTTATTAATTGACTTTTTAGTGCAGAGTGCACTGTTGGGATGGTTCTGGGGCCTGCCTGCTGCTAAGGCACTAAGCCACTATGGTGCTATGCACTATGGCCCTATGGCACTTAAGTGTAAACTTTAATGTTTGTTTAATTAATTAATTTCAATTAATTAATTAGTCTAGAGGCAAGGATGTGGTGGGGGTAGGGTGGGAAAGGTACATGTGTACTCTACGTAAAACATGTTCCATTGCCGTCAGTTGGGTGTGAACATTGCAAAGCTGTATATTTGTTTCAGGTAACCCCTTGCTCTCCTTGTGGGACCATTCCCTTTAGAACAAAACTAATTTGCTCTTCTATTCTATTTCGCTTCATTCAGCCGAATAGAAAACATTTCTGTTATAAGTAGAGGAGACAAGTAATAGAACAAATAGTGGAGGGAGCTGCCAGCAATGATCAAGTTTATTTACAAGAATCTGAGACATGCTGAATACAGGTTACAAACCGAAGAGTATAAGAAAATGTCACACGCTATTTTCAACAACAATATATATATAAAAAAAAAAACAGCCTTGTGTAAACTCACAAGGAGTGGTACATAAAGGTCTGATTATCCCAATGGGAACTAATACAAAGTAACCTAATTAAACACCTAAAAGAAATACATAATTTAAACGCATGCGTAGATTAGTTAGCATTTGTGGCTTCTATACTAGGTGGAGGATACATTGCATATGGAATCACGCACAAATGTTGTGTGTTTTTCCTTATGGTAGAACTCAACATGTAAGACGCATGCATTCTAACATCATTAGTGTTATACACTATCTTTCCACGCGGTATTTTATATGTCATGTCATGTGACCAAGGACAGCAGTTATTTTTCAAGTAGTGCCAATAGTCCCTTTTTGTTGCAAAAGTGAAACATTACTTTGGCTGTGTAGCTTTTAGAATTACACAGGTCGGTTCAACAAATATCTGCTGTTTTCAATCTACAATAGTGTGTTTGTCAGGGTTCACATGTATTGCCTCTCCTTAGCGGCTTGTTTATTTCTTGTCTTAATTGTGTCCGTAAGAGAGACCAAAAAGTTCCCAAGTTAGTGGCTTTGATACTCCACAAATTGTAAATTTGTGACAAAAGAAACCAGGAAAGTGCTCAAATATTGCTGCAGATTCCGTGGCACCTAATGAAAGTGCAAATTAATTTAATCAGTCTATGAGGAGACTCGTTCATATTGGCCAAGTAGCGCTGTTTATCTTCAATACTTTTCGTTGAAATGTTTCTCAGCCATCAATATCGTCGTGTGTTAATTTTGAATTGTTTCATTGTTAACAACAAAGGTGACAACAGAAAAAGAAAGTGGTATTTCGTGACTGTCTGATAATTAAATTAGTTCTTGTTCATTGCTGATAAGAAAATTTGCATTTTTAGTAAAACAACATTGTTTCTGTCCGGTTTCTTCATCACTACATCAGATATTTAACTTTCTTTCAGTTATCTCCAAAGAACAAGAACATCTACCATGTGTTTTGGAGAAAACAAGGGTTTCATATTACATGCCTTTGTGAGGAAAACAAAAGTATCAAGTTACAAAGTTGGCGTGAAGAGCAGAATTGTCACGTTTGCTGCTTCAAAGTATTATTGAATTTAAAATGGACAAAAATCAACGTAAAACACCAGTAGTAATTTTTGGACCTTGAATGAAATTACAACCTTGAAACATACACACTTCTAAGGGGAAAAGCCCTAGCAGACTACCAAGGGAGACACAAACCGGAAGTGAACCGAGCAGGGGTGAGTACTTATGGGACTACTGTGCCAGAGCTATCAGTTGTGCTATGCACTACCTGGGATTGTCTCACTAGTTGACCATGGGAGTGTCTGGCCTCTGGGGTAGCTCTTTAACTGTTGTTACATATTCTAAAGAAAAGTTACTTATTGCTCATGTGCTCTCGTTTTGAAAACTATGTTCCCAGACTTTTTTCAGTTTAGAAGATTCATATATTTTGCTTTCAAGCATTCTAGTTTGATTCCTGGCAAAGATGTATTGTAAATTTTTGTTTTCATCATAAAAGTACTCAAAGTCTGAGAACTCTGACACCCTTTGCTCTTGCAGATTCAGATTCTTTTGATCTGTCAATGCTCACATCATACACATAAGTTCCCCTTAACCTTCCATTTGTTCGTTTTTCAATTTGTTGACCTAACATCACATCATTTCCTTCCCTTCTAAAGTGCTTAAGTGAGAATTTTAATGTACCATAATGCCCATCTAGCTTTGTTTTTCCTTTCTGGGGCTCAAAGTTTCTGAAAGTGCCAACCTGTACCCCCTGTAAGTGCAGAAATATTGGACAACCATGGCACAAGTGAAGTTTTTTGTAGTGGGCTCCATTGTCCACAGAGTGATGGTGGACACTTCAGGATGGAGTTTTTTAAAGTTCTTGATTTATTCCTCAAGGCAGCTTGCAGAAAAATTCCAATTTTGTTTGTCGTCAGATACACTGTAGAGGTCATGCAATTATGTTTACAAGTAGTTTGCCATTTTGTTTCTTCTTACTTCACCTTTCAATGACATGCGGACTCTAAAATTCAAAGCTCAACTGACAAATGCATTTTTCGCTGCTGTCAATCAAGCATTCGGTGGCTCCTCCCAGCTTCCAACTACTGCTGAGCTCGTGGTAATCAAATCGTTGAGCACAGTTCAGACAACAAATTAGTGCTCGGCAGTACTGAGCCATGAGGACAAACACCTTTTTTGGCAAACAAATCTTTTTGTGGTTCAAAAAAGGTTTTGAAATAGAATTTTCATCATATCGTCGGCTACCATGACTGCTTGACCTGCAGAAAGATTATTGATATCTTTAAAAAACTTCCCTTTGATATTTCCCTCTCACAATGTGTCCAATATAATTGTGCTCTTTCAGGGTCATTTGAATAGTTTGCAAATTTGATTTCCCTTATTAGGTGAAATATTTGAAGACAACTTTGGCAAGTCTCCTGGTGTTGAGTGAGGTTGCCACAGGGGAGGTCATCTGAAAGCCAAAGACTATAAATGCCAAGAGGAAAGTGTTTTGAAGTCAATCTGGTGTAAGTTCTTGGCTTTTGAGTAATCGGACTAGGTCATGCGGCTGCATCAAAGATGTTTGGTTTTCTTGGATTAAAGCCCATGACGAAGAACTGTTGGTCTAAAACCACGAAGAAAATCAAAAAGGAAGCAAAGAATTTGCTTAAAAATGAGTTAAATCGGGCAGCATTTGTGGTGAAAGAATACAATTTTGCACTTGGGGAGGCAGATTGCACCAGGGAACAATTGAGCTATGTTGTTGTGAATGCCGGTGTTACTATCAATGCATCGTGGTGCTCTAGAGGATGGTCAGCTATGGATGCCGTCACTGCTGTCATTTCTGTCGACACTGGAAAGGTTGTCGATGTTCTATGCATGAGTAGTTCCTGTGCAGAATGCAAGAAAATGGAGAAAAAAAAAAGAAGACAGATGGTGAAGTGAGCCAACTAGAATCTCTCTCTTGGTTTACAAAACATGAGCCCAACTGCTACCTAAATCACGATGGCAGTTCAGCAGTTAGCCTGCGCAGCAGGCATATAAGGTTCCTTTTTCCTCTCCCCCCACCTCCACTCCTCCATTTTTTTCCCGGAATTCTCTTTCTCCTCTCCCACCCCCTCCCCTTTATACACCTGCTATGCAGGCTATTCAGCAGTAAGTTCTTAACATAGTAATTCTGATTTTTTGCTTCTAGTATACTAATCGTGTATCAAAATTTCCTCACACAATTTATTAGAAATGGAAGAGTGATAAATGTCTTTCTTCTCCACAGCTACATATAGGGTGGAAAGGGTTTGGAACATACTGAGTATTTGACATGTTTGAACATACACTGTATTTCAATTTGAATTTTGCACTGTACCAAGGGTTTTGGAATTTAGAACACCACCAATTGCAAATTTGTGATGTCCTAGTTTTGTACCAGATATTTTTGACAGGTTGCAGGTTAGCTAAAACCCTTGTTTTAATGGTACATGGTAATCCTTACCCTCACAATTATGCTAACCTTCCTTGTTAGAGACACTATGGTCAGGCTATATAACAGGAATGCTATTCTCAGGCTTACCAAGCCACTATTCTTGAGCTTACTGTGTTTGATAATTTTAAAACAGGGCTCACCTTGCAACCTCCAAAAATATACCTGCCACAGTTTTTTCAAAATCAATTTTGTTTTAATGAAACTGCATACAGCTTTCAAGCAAAAATAATAACATTTTCTTTTCTTCTGATGCTCTTTTGTAGTCTATGGAGGCCGCTGGTGCAAAAATACTGTATTTGCGTTCTGTGCAAAGTAGGGGGCTGCGATACATAATCCATTCGTTGGTGATGGTGACAGCAAAGGCTACAGTGCTGTGTGTAAGGCCAATCCTTATGGTCCTGCTGAGTTTATTCCAAAAGAAGAATGTATTGCTCACGTTACCAACCAGTTGGGTACAGGATTGAGAGCATTACTGAAAGAATGCAAGGGTGAGGATATGTTTCATTCTCATTTTGTAAAATACACAAGTTATCCAGTGGGACTTCCAAAACAAAGAAAAGGCAAGCTTTACTGGTGTGAATTTTTTTGTTTTGGATGTCCCACTACATAACATATGGCTGAATGTCTCTGATTCTGTACCATGTGACTGGGTTGTGCAAAGGAATTCACTGGAATGACTCATTATTCAACCTATCCCTTCTGATTTTAAGGTAAAACGTTAGCTGATAACAAAGCCCTGACTAGAGTGGGAAGGTTAACCCGTGCAAGAGTGGATACCTTGCAGAATTTTTATGGCTGAGCCTTGAGGGATAACAAAAATAATGCAAAAGAAATGGCAAAAGCAACAAGAGCTATTTTAAAGCATTATAGCAGCACGGTAGAAAATCCTTGTCATGAAGACTGCCTTGCGGGTGGTGATTCCTGGTGCAGCTATCAACGTGATGTTGCTAATGGCACTGATCTGCACAAGCCTGTGAAGAATCCATTCCCTGAGGCAATTGTTGAAGTAGTACAACCTTTGTTTCATCGGTTGGGTGATGAATCATTCCTAGCTGGGTGTGAAAATTGTTACACCCAAAATACAAATGAATCACTGCACCATGTAATCTGGGGAAAGGCATCAAAAGATGTATACAGCTCTCCCCAGGAAATAAGCATAGCAATCAGCCTTGGAGTACTAGAGTTCAACCAAGGATTCCACAGAACATATTCGGAGCTACTACCCATTCTTGGCATTGGAGTTGAACCCCAAATAGTGGAAGCGTGGCAGCGAATTGATGAAGAGAGGCTCTATCAAGCTGATTATCGCAATTCCACAGATAGTAAACTTAGAAGAAAAAAAAAGAGGAAAGAGAAATTAAAGAAGCAGAATGCTTTTGTTCACCAGGAAGGTGTCATGTACAAATCACGGCCTTTCATGGGAGAAAATCAGAAAAAGACAGAAATGTGGCCAAAGGGAAAAAAAGAAATACATCAAACAGAAAGAAATGAGTTCTGAACAACACTGGTACAACCTTTAATAGTATTTATAACTGAATGTAACTCACAGTGGTACATTTTGCTACTTGAAATTGCTTTGTGTGAAGGTTGTTCCCGTTCAATTTGTTGACTGAAACTAGCAAGTTTGCTTGTTTATGAATAAATTATTCATAAACAATCATTGTCGACTTCTCATCAAGTAGTGCTGAAGTACTTTGGCAAATTTGTTTGTAAAAAAGAAAAACTTGTGTAGCCATCCTTACACAGGCTATAGTACATAATATCACAGTTCACTTTATTGATTTTTATTTATTCTTCAGTGTCATTAGTTGCAATGGATACAAATTTGTATATCAAATGTTCTACTCAATCTTAGGCAGCTCCATTGCCTGGCAAAACTCTGCCATTGTCACTTGAATCAATGTGTAAACTTTAGATTTGTGTTGCATTTAAGATCCTTGAATGAGAAGGGGCGGTATTTTTAAAATTCCAGTAGTTTGCTTGTGGTGCTGTGCAAAATCCTCTTACTGTACATGCACAGAATACTTTCAATATTTTATTGTAAGTTACTAAAACCCATATTTTATTGATCAGTAGTTCTTCCATCATAATTATTTGGTTTTATTATCCAACTGCAGCGAGTACTGTCTAAGTAACAGTACAAATATACCGCGATATTGTACAGAAGAAAACCTGTCTGGCGTATTTGTACAATAGAAACCCTGTTTGGCGTATTTGTACAGTAGAAAACCTGTTTGCCGTTCAGGTCGGCGCGTGCACGCAAAGCTGTCACACTCTCCCTCTTTTATTGATAAATTTGTTGACAGCTGTTGGATAATAAATCTCTCGTTAGATGTTTTGGTGTTTAGTATAGCTGTATATTTTTACTCATTGTTTGTATTTTGACTCGCCCTACGGGCTCGTCAAAATACGGCACAACTCGTGAAATACATACAGCGATACTGCACACCAAAACACCTAATAAGATATATGTATTCTGTCATATGTGTAGCAAATGAAGTTGCCATACTGGACAGTACAAGAGACTGATATTTCTCAATGGCAAGCGCAGTATTGTTTCTCGAAATTGACTTCTGACATCAATAGAACATTTAAAACATTAAGTAAGTCTCTGTAGTCACCATATGCTAAAGAGGCAAAATTTTCTCCCAATATGGTCTTAGCTTTCGAAAGCGACCACCTAAGCTTGACATTTTGGGTGGTCGCTTACGGGAGGTTCGACTGTGTTCTGAACCCAGAACAAACGCGGATGATACCAGCCTGACACTTGCCAGGACTGACATTGAGCAAATAATTAAATTATCGCCTTAATCACGACCTGAGTAATGGGTACGAATGGCTGTCTGCTAACAAGCTTACCCTAAATATGACAAGAACTGAGTTTATGCTTATTGAATCAAGGCAGAAGTTATCACAATTTATGGAAAGTCCCTCTCCTACTATAAACAAGAATGCAGTAGAACAAGTAAGCTCCGCTAAATTCCTTGGAGTTCATGTCGATCAAAATATAAACTGGGAGTGTCATTGAAAATATCTCTAAGAAGATAGCTTGTGCCATTGGTGCAATTAAACGAATTCGGCATCTCACTCCATTTAATGTTTTAATTAAAGTTTATAATAGCCTTATCCAACCATATTTTGATTATTGCAATGTAGTGTGGGGAAACTGTAACAAGGGCCTTTCTGAAAAACTGCAAAGGCTTCAAAATCGCGCAGCTCGCACCCTGATGTCTGCAAGCTATGATAGTAATTAGGGTGGCGAAGACTCTTCCATCAAAGATTGGAACGGAAGTCTATCCTAACGTATAAAACATTAAATAGTATAACACCTGATTATCTGAGATCAAGATTCGTATATCGTGACAACGTAAATGCTTATCGTTTAAGGAATACCGAAAACAAATTAGTACTTCCACAATCTCGAACTAATTATCTTAAGAGATGTTTTTCGTAGAGCGGAGCTCACTTGTAGAACAACTTACCAATAGACCTAAGACAAGCATCTTCACTGACCGATTTCAAATCTAAATTAACAGATTAAGTCGCCACGGTTTAAAGTAATGTCTTAATTTTAAGTAAATTTTTAGACGGCCTCCATGGAAAGCAGGTTTTTTTCAATTTTTATTGTAGTTAGGAAGATAGGTTGATAGTCCAGTAACTTTGTTGACTGATGAAAAAACCGTGTATAATTAAAGTTATCGTATCTTATCTTATCATATCTTAGCCAATTTATCATAACTTGACCTTCAGTTAAGTTCAATTAGCCTTTCTTTACCACGTTCCATGGCGAGACCTGTAAAGCTTTGTGGTTGTTTTCCATGGCCTGTAAAGGAGGCCGGGACAAACTATGACAGTTGCAGCGAACAGGAAATCGATCTTTAACCTTCGTCTTCGTGTCGTTTTCTAATTGGACAAGATTAGAGCAAGACTAATATCATTTTCCATAACTACTGGAACCCAGGTGTCTGGATAGATGTGTACTTATGCGGGGGATGATCGGGGATGGGTGAAGTTATAGAGCCAAAATTAATCATCAGCACCAATAAGCTAGTAGCCTCGTAAACTAGATCCCTTCTCTTGTACTTACCTCTGTCATGCCTCCCTCAAGATCTGCGGACTTGTTTCCAGTTTGATCTTCAGGTTGTTCATTTCCCAGACACAATAGAAAGATTACAGTGATTGTAGTAATGCCCGGTACTAATCGGTCACCCATGTCATCGGATCCAACTAGAACTAAATTTCATTACCAAAAGTAAACGTGTCTTTCTTTACAAGAAATTGTTACAAATAATAAAAGAACGACTAGCTCTTGATCAAACAATTGCTTTGCAAATATTCACTTCCTTGGATTATGGGTAGAGTTGAGCCTGGGACAACTAACTCATAATACCTTAAAAATTAATGAAAGAATTCAACCAAGTAAGGCGTGGTGTAGTGGATAAGGGGATTCACTTCAGAGCAGGAGGTTGCAGGTTTGAGCGCTGGTGGGGGATGTCAAAAAGAAATTACATGAAAAAAGTCGGGGATTATGGGTCGAGGAGTCTGGTTAGGGAAAGGGAAAGAAACACACTGAGTGCAAGGGGGATTTAGGAAAAGTGAAATAACAGGGAGAAGCTTTGAGCATTGAAAGCAAAACTCAGTGATATAAAAGATTACTCCCTCGTGATCGTGGGTTGGCCTTTTCTAAATTCTGGGCCCATCTAGTTCCATATAATTAACTGTATGTGCCATCAAACATTCAAGGAGTCACCACTATGTTATTTGTAGTATGGACACATTGTGCAAGGTCTGAAAGAGATACTAATTTTCATGAAACAACAGTATTCCAGTGTCCAAAAGAGTCAAAGAAATGAACAAGGTTTAGCTGGAAATTTAAATAACAAACTCCTGATAACTTATGAAAACTTAAATCACCATTTTCCAGGAAGTGCGTTTTTAAAAAACTAGATCTCAATTTTATTTCATTATCTCATTTGTTGCCCGTAAGAAAATTGACCAAGGCAACTGCAAACACAGCTAGAGAATCCCAAATACATTAGAAAAGTATTAACAAGGTGGCGGTATTAAAGGGTTCTTTAAATGGGAAAATGAGTGAATCAGCTTTTGTTTGGACCAGAGTGAAGTGGCCGTAATAACAAGGTGGCTGTATTAATGGGGTGGCTGTGAGGCAGGGTTCCACTGCAACCATACACGATTTAGGAAAATTGTCATTATTGCATAAAGTTTGTGATCTACCAGACACCACAAAACACTTCATTGAAGGACAACAAAGGTTAAACAATAAATCAACAGCCTAATTACCAGTTACTAATTGATCAGGTTGGAAAGGAAAAGGAAGCAACCCATCTTGTCCTTGCAGTTATTTATTGTGGTCAAATTAAATTTTAAGTGCACTATTCAAAAAAAGTTTCTATAGTTTACTTTCGGGGAAGTAAGCAGACTTACACAGGCTATAATAATTACAAAACACCTGCTCAATATGTACAGAGAGCAGACTTAACAAAGAAAATAAAGACATGACTTTTTATTCACTTTGTACCTAATTAAAATGTAACCTTAAGGTGGCTTACTACAGTTTTTTGGAGACTCAGTAGCGCGCGCTTCCATTGCCTGCCAGACGTCAGTATTAATCGTGTGTGTAAAAATGACGCAAGCAATCCTAAGAAGAAATGAAAACCACTTCAACACTTGAAAGGCATTAAATCACTTTGGTATAAGTAGCAATGGTTTCAAACTCTGTTCAATAAGCCCAGCACCAAAAAACTATGACAAAAAAGTTCTATACGCGATACATGACGTGACATGAGCACACGCTTAAATAAATTACGAAGTGTGCTTTTCTGAATTTTTGTGATGTCAGCATGACCAAATAAATGCTAATTTTATTGAGTTCCTTTCAGTGAAGTTTTTTTTTCTAATTTGGCTCAGTTCTAACTACATACAATTCCTGTAAAATACCCTATTTTTTTTTTAAATCTGTCAGAGCTAATCTAATATATTTAGAACAATGACAAATTACAGAATATTGGAAAAACCGCCTGAACAACCTCGATTTTTTACCAATTCAAAATGTCAGGCAATATCATTTCCATGATGTGGCAAAGTATGAAAAAAATTCACTGAAGGAAAGTATAAATATTAAGGAGTTAAGGTCAAAATGAGGAATACATCTGCCTGTTATTAGATGAGATGTTGCCATGGTAATGGCCTTAATCCAAAAATTGACAACCAAAACATAAGCCTTATTTTAACAGTACCCATACTGGTAAATCTCTACAGCAAAAATTTTAAGAGAAATTAACTGAGTTTCCTTTTCTAACTCATGCTCTATAGGAGGGTGTTTGTAATTACTCTAGGGAGCCACCTTAAATAAAACACTCTTTTCTTTAGTTTGTTCTTATTTCAATGGGGTTGTGGAACATGGCCATCCACATAGAAATTCCTGGTTGCCTTTGGTAAAGTCACCTCAAGTCCTTCAAACTCCTTGGTTAGAATTATCTGGCAACCTGTTGATAAATAGATTGTTACTAATAGGTACAGTCAAGGAAAACAAAATTCACCCATTGTCAAGCGCCAATACATTGAACAACTTGACAGTTTTTAAATTATTTATGTCTTCAAAAGCAATATAAAATTGTTGCAACCTACAAATAAGTTAAGTCGTGCTGCACTTCATCAATGATATACTACTAACCTAATCTTGAGTTTTCCTGAAGAAATGGAGCCATATCCAGCATGTCATCCTCCCTAACAAAAACTTGACAAATTAATTTTGAAAACCCTTTTATAGGGGATTTTCCAAATTTAGCAAAGTAGTCCTTAGTTTGACAAGGCTTTCATTTGACTATAGAATCAGTACCAAGGGGGTGCAACTAAATGTACCAAATGTGGTCTAGAGGATCATCTGAATTATTTCATGTTAATTTGTAATTAAAGTGGCTTACTACAGTTTTGATGGATTATAACAGCCCAACTTCTAACTCTTTTAAAAAATATTCCAAGATGTTTTTCCCTTCTCAAGTCTTTTACCTTTCTATGTAAAACTTGAACAATTAAACGTCGACAAAGCCAAAATGAACGACCGAGCACCCAAGGAGAGACTGGACACTGGTAGGTTAAATCACGTTTTTCTCAAAATCTACCTGTATGACCCCACGTCAAAATTTCAGGACAGCAGAAACTGGCTCTGATTTAACATTCATGCAAAGTACAATAAAAATCTGTAAGACAGATTTTTCGCAAACTAAGAAAATGTAAAATCAAAAAGAGCTCAAAATCCATCTTACAGATTTTTTAAAAATTTTGGCTTTAAATGTGATTTACCCCTACAAATCAACTGTGAAAATTTCACCATGGGTTGTAAAGTAGGTTTTTGAGCAATCCTTGACCAAAGGCTGGCTTTTACAAACTTGTATGAGAACTGAATTGCGCATGCCCTTTATTTTAAGCGTGCGCTCATGTAACGCCATGTATCGCGTGCGAGAGAGTGAGCCGTAGAGTAAATTAGAGCTCTTTTACCGGTTATTTATTGAGCTTTTTATGTGATACTTTTTTGGCCCTAAGCTTAAAAACAAGTTTGAACGGAGTTTGAAACTATTGCTACGTATACCAAAGTGATTTAACGCCTTTCAAATGCTGAAGTTGTTTTCATTTTTCTTACGGTTACTTGTGTCATTTTTGCACGCACGACCAATACTGACGTCTGGCAGGCAATCATAGCGCGCACTACCGAGTCTCCAAAAAACTGTAGTAAGCCACCTTAAGTTCAAAACAACTTTCTTTGAAATTCACAACTAAAGAATCCTGTGTTTCAATTAATTGTCTTTCAGACAGCTAGTTTTATAACTTTCCACTAAAAGCCAAACAAAGATGATAATAATAATAATAATTATATTATATTAAATGAAAAAAATTTATAGCACAACTTACCATGAAATGATCAAGTGCACTTTACGTCATAAAAGTTAAAACTAATCCCAAAAGTCTTAAATTTACAATAGTTCCAAAAGAACAAACCATGTTAAAATGAAGTTTCACTTCTGGTCTGTTATTGCATAAGTGTAACAGGTACCTGGGATCTGGCCTTGCTCCCTATAAATTATTTTCTAGGAACATTTGTTTTTTTGAGAGATAGAAGAACAACTTACTTCTCTTCTGGTTCTGAAAGCTTTTCCAAGTAGTCTTCCCTTACATAAACATGACACGTGGAGCATGCTAAGGATGCTTCACAAGCTCCTTGTGGACAAAATAATGAAACAACTACATTAAAATGTGAGATTTTTGGTGCACTCTTATAAAGGCCAAAGTTTCTGGCCAAAGTTTCACAGCAGGCTTTCTCCTTAGAAATTTAATACATGAGGGTGGGAGGGTTTAGAGTAATCCCTATAACACATGATGCAAACATGATAATCGTAAGCTAAAAGGGCCTAAATCTGTGAAGGAAAAAATATGAACAGTTGATAGGTTTAGTGATGGGATGGTTTAAAGTTACTATAAATAGTTACTATGAACAATACTATAGATACTATAAACCAGTATATCACCCCTGCTTAATAAAGCACCAAGTTCACACCAAATTATTACTCTTACAGGTTTTATTGCCTAATGGCCTTGGTATTCAACTGTTAATACAGAGGACTTTGTCCAGGTGTTAGCTACCTATGAAATCCATGACACCCATCATCAAGTGCCAAGCCAGCTGCATAGCCTACCTTCCATTTCAATGCCATGACGATGTGCCAGGTATAGCAAGTTATCTCCTACTTTCCCTTTTACTTTTATTCGATTGCCATCACGATCAATGTATGTCACATTAACACTGCAATGAAAAGACTTGAACTTAGTAAAGTTTTACAGATGTGTGTTGGAAAATCCAAGATGTCAAGAATATGGTGATCTATGGTGTCTCTTGACCTAAAATTGCTTTTTAACAACGTTCCTATCAAGGGTGCTTGCTACGATAACTGAAGAGTGACCCTGCACTTTCAGACCTTCAATAATTATAGTTCTATACTTTAATTATAATTCTACACTTCTATATAATTCTATACTGAGATCAACGAGAAGCGTTGACACATTCTTTAAGCCTTTCAACAGCCAAAAGTCCTCATCTCACAGGAGCAAGTACATAACATTGAGCAAGTCCAGCAGTGGGCAGCAAGATTCATGAAACAAGATTACAACTGGAATTCTAGTGTATTTTAAATGCAACAGTTACTATCTCTGGAACAATCGAGTGAGACAAGAAGAGTTGCTTATACCTAATTATTATCACTGTTCTACTCACGTCACACAATACCATTCTAGTACTGCTTTTATATAACTGCCAACTTTTTCTGAGTTATAGGCCTGAGATTTTTATCCTTGTAGTGCCAGGTTTTTTGAAGAAGACACAAACATATCCGAAGATTCCCGAAGACATCCGAAAACTTCCAAAGATGTCCAAAGTCTTTTGAAGATGAGGTTATCAAAAAATGCTTTAGCCACAGCGACATACAATAGCAGAAGTGGAAACAGCCCTGACATTTCTCAGTCCCAGTCTCAGGACATGTATCGCTAAACATGACCTCAATCCCAGTGCTTTCTAATTGAAGAAGGAAGTATCCTTAGTTACACATGGTTTTCATTTCTTACATCGGTTTGGGTTTACATATTTTTGGAAATTGTGTAAAGCAAAGCTGCAACCACTCGCATTTTTCAAACAGGCATGAGAATTTGGCCTGTAAGCATGAGCTGGCGTGAGATTAAAGTTTTCAACCCACAGGCGTAAGACTCACGCCTAAGGCATGAGAGTTGGCAGGTATACTTTCCTACAACCAAGGGTGTGCTATGGCCATTACTTATACAGCTTCTTTTCTCGTTCCTAACCCTAACTGTTAAGCTAGATGTAGAAAACCCTCCATCCATTTCTCAATGGAGAATGAAAAGGATTGAAAAATTACCTTCCTTGACACATCAGTTTCAAGAGAGCAACTGCAAGATGGCCACCTTACAGCCAGCATTTACAGTAAGCCCACGCACACTGAGCAGCACTTAGCATGTGATCCACACCACCCTCAATCAGTAAAACAAGTTACTGTCTTTACAAAGGCTTTATGACTGGGTGAAGTGTCTCATCATGCAATCCTCAGTTCTCTTCAAGGAATTAGGCTTTCGAACCCTCTGAACAAATTTTGTTGGGCGTCTGTCAGCCAACTGTTTGCTGTCTGTTGGCCAACTGTAAGCCATTTGTTGGCCTTAAGTCCACTAACTGTGGGCCTTTCATTGGCCAACAGTTGACTGTTGGCTGACAGATGGCAGACAGTTTTCATTCCGTTTCAGACTCAAGTGTTGGCCAACAGTAAGCCAACAATTGGCGAACAATCAGCAAACTGTTGGCAATCTGTTGGTGATCCAGGGTTATCATATATAAGATGATTATGTAATTTTCTACTTTGTAAATGGTATACTTATATATTAAACTAATAAATTAATATTTAATTATTTAACAATGCTCAAGCTTTTTGCATTACATTCTAGTTGCATTCATAACTAACATGTATTAAGCCGGAGGGGGGTACTCCCAGAAAAATTTGGTGGGGGTGCGTGGCCCACCTCCCAAAACCCTAACCCTATTTATGACCAAAATCTGTGATTTTCCCTACCCTATTTATGACCAGACCAAAAGTTCAATACCCTGTTTATGACCATTACAGCTGACACAGTTGCCCTAAACATAATTTTTGGAGGGCTTTTGTTTATGGTGTTATCGATAATGATGAAAAAGTACCTTCTTCTAAAAAACACACCCAATTTATGACTGGAGTACAAAAACCATACCCAATTTAAAGACCAAAATGGCCAAATCGATCCTATTTATGACCAAAACGGCTGAAAAACCATACCTTTGGGGCCGCACATACCTATATTGCCCATATAAGGGAGTACCCCCCCCCCCCAACTGGGTATTAAGCCAATTTCCATTGGGTGATATTTTATTGATTTACATGCATGACTTGCATATATGGTTGCTTCTGAAGCGATGTTGTCGTGTAAAGTTGAAAATATTAATTGTTTTAGGACTAAACTGGCAAGTTAGAAGTTAAGCTTTCACCTACACTTCATCTGGTGATTTTGGATCTTGCATCTCGTATTCCCCCGAGTGAAGAGGCCCTTGACAGTAAAGTAAAAGATACATTATAGATGGGTGTCTACATGAATACCAGATTGCAATAAATTGGTTTAAAATCACGAAAAGGAGCCACTACTAGCTACTACTTTTACAACAAACCTGCACGAATAAAGAAAAGCCGTTTGTTGTTGAGCTTATTTCTCCTTAAAACTTTTCGTGAGAGTACAGTGGTCGTCTGCATGGCATCTGTAATGTGTTTCAATAGCTGTGTACTTCTCCGTATCAACATCATAGCAAGAGAAAAACTATTTGTACTTTCATCACGTCAATGTGATAGTAACATTTGAAACCATTAGTTGTTTTCCTGTTAATCGTGTCCAGTCTCCAGATCCACAAGCCTCTCTCGGCCCAAACCATTCACTCTACGACCGAGCCTTTCAAATTAGCTTGGCACGTTGTTCTCTGACATTCGTTTCAACGCCGACACTGTGTTTCTTATCAATTCTTCTCCTTAGTATTGACCAGTTAACATGACTACGGGAACGGAGAAACCCAGTACAAGAGTTATTCAGGTGACAAATATCGCCCAAAATGCCACAGTTGATCAAATGAAAACGCTGTTTGGATTCTTGGGTGAAATTGAAGAAATGCACCTCTTTCCTGAGTAAGATTAAGCTTGCTGAACACAACCTTTATTATTATACCATTATTATTTATAACAAAGTTAAAAGAATGTTTAGTGATAGCACATTGTTTTGATTGTTTCAGGGATCCAATGATTCACCTTGGTACAGCTACGCGAGTTTGCTTTGTTAAGTTTACTGACCCTTCCAGTGTGCATGTAGCTCAACATCTTACAAACACAGTCTTCATAGACAGAGCGCTAATAGTTGTACCAGTTCAGGATGGTAAGTTCAGATTTACTCCGTAAGTGCCATCAAATGGGTCATTCCATTTTTTATCTGCACTCCTTCGGCTTCCCCCACCCCCACTTATAAATTGTAATAATTTACAATTTATATTTTTTTCGGTGGGGGGGACTTAACAATATTGAATTAAATTAGTCTACCTACCTAACTAATAGGTCACTAATAACTACTACAATAAAAGAAATGATAAAAGCATGCTTTTCAAGGAAGCCATGTATGAAAGCAAAGTAAAACTTACATAAGACTACCATTAAAATCATAATTTTTCAACTTAGATTTAAGTTCATCAAGAGAGGGTGACTGACGAATATCCAAGGGTAAACTATTCCACAGTACTGCTCCGCTGTAGGACAGACTTCTTTTACAATAATAAGTGCGGAACTGTGGAATGGCAAGCAAACAGTCACCATCTCTTAAGTTATAGGTTAAGGTATAGGAAAGTGTGTACAAAGTGCGAACTAAGATAGTCCAAAATCATATTATTTACAATCTTATACATAATTATTATTGATTTAGCAACAAGGCGTTGACGGTCCAGTTGAACCCAGTTTACCATTTGCAACAATTTGTCAGTACCACGATTGTAATTTGAAAAAGTTATGACACATGCAGCACGATTTTGAAATATTTGTAACTTTTGAGAAAGACTCTTAGAACAGGATCCCTACACCAAGCTGCAGTAATTGAGATGAGGTTGGGCTTATGAATTGTAGATGAAAAGTAGAGTCTTATCTGGGACCGAATACCTAATATGTCTAATGGCGCTTATATCAGAAGCAATCTAAGTTTCAAAGGTTTTTGCGTTCTTGAGGAACAAGAGAATGCATCCTAATTTTGTTTCGCAGACCCGAGAAATCGAGATGTTTTGTGAAGACCTCAAATTGTTTTTTCAGGGGCTTTAGGCCCTGTTTTTGTGTCCATCTGCTACGTCATACTTGTTCTCTTTTGTGGCTTTTGACGTTTTGGGGTTCTCTTTGAACTTGTTTTTCACTCTGATTGCATTCAACAATAAAGGGAATGCAGTCCCAATGCAGACTGGAGTGAGAGTTTTTGGCCAGTCGAAAACAAATTACATCATCGCAAAGCATGTGTATATTAGACAATTTGCTTTTTCAATCGTTTTCATGATCGCTCGTTTCTAGAAGTTTGATTCTGGACCGAGCATGGGCTGTTTGGTCAGGATGTGAGATGATGTGCTTTTGTTACATAGCTGGGACAACATTATTAATTCTGTTCACGAACACGACTTATAATCGCCTTGACTTTGGAATGTTAACCGTGGGAACAGCCATATTTCTTTGGCCATATTTTGATTACATATGTTGACTTAAATAGTTCCAGTGCCCGCAAATAGTTCAGTCTGTATCAAGCAAAGGTCAAAATTGAATTGATGGAAGAGTACTCTGAAACCAAGACCTATAAGAATAAGCCAGAACTAAGGAACAGCAATGTAAATGCTGACTTATTTTTATTCATCAACGGAAATAATAATTATTGCCAGTCGTACAGAGTTTGTCCGGGAGTTTGTTTTAAACCATGGATAAATGGAAACAAGAGTGCAAATGTTACAAATGTTAGCTGATATTTGTGCTTCCAGCTCAGAATACTAGATGTAACACAGGTATTCTTTTTAAAAATTAGCCTTTATGCTTTAAGACCTTAAACATTACCAGTAAAAGTGAAAATGAGACGTTTAACATGAATTTGTGAGTTAACCGAAACTGGAGCTGTCGCGCAACGTGTCATCAAAGGTCATATCAAATCGCATTAAAGCAAGGAAATCAAAATCCACAGAACAATAGTGGACTTTGTCAGTATGTTATATGTCTGTAAAACTTCAGCTATTCACATAAAGATAATGATTTCAGCAACAGAGAACTATTATCACAGGCGGAGAACGCACTCCTAATCTTTGATTACTACTAGGTATAACAGTTTGACTTTTTTACATTCTTGATAGCATTGTTTACTTCATTGCGCAAATTCTTAAAATTAGTCCAATCACTTGGATTGCCTGTCCGCAAAGCCTTAATTTTAAGACGATCTATCCGATACATCAAATTCTTAAGCTCAGGGGTTGTCCATGGACTTTTAGAAGCACGAATGTCTTTAGTCTGGAGTGGAGCGTGCAGATCACACACTTATATTATAAGAACAAAGATTTCCATTTCAACCACATTTCATTGGGGTTATCTATTCCCATGAGATCAGCCCACGGTTGAGCCAAGATGTCCAAACAAAAGCTATTAGAATCAAAACTTTTAAATTGCCTATATGAAACAGTGCTAAATCCTTTGATGGGGGATGGCAATGAAATTTTACGAAAAACATAAATCAAACTATGGTCACTGATTCCGATGTTAGATTCTCCAGAGCAAGATACATTGTCCGGGTGANGATTGACCACGGAGAATTTTATTTGGGCTCCTAAAAAAGTGGCTTGGGCTCCTAACTTTTGGTGGAAGAAGCCCAAAGGGCTCCTTAAAGATTTCCTTAGGCAACAGCCTTGCAATAGTTGATTTGGCCTTGGGCCACCTCATAGAAATCTTGAGTTGATAATCTAATTTTTAATTAGAGTGCAGTGGCTGTCAATCATCTACAAAATGGCAAGGTTTTTCCATTTACCCGATGTTTTTGAGGGACGTTTAAACGCAAATGGATAATTAAGTTCCTGAGAAGACTAAAAGAAGGACATTTACAGTTTTTTGGTTGTAAAAATTCAAAATATTGAAAAAAGGGTGTGCGCGCGTAAACAACGGCAGATTTCCAATGAAAATTCAGTCTGTGCGATGTTGGCACAAGTTTACTAATAGGTGGAGAAATAGCTGGAAACCGCTAATTATTTGCATTGATTTTACTTATAATTCTACTTAAACAATTAGATTATTCGCTCTCAATTTCTATGAGTCGATAGTTGATTTGGCCTTTGGCCTCATCAGCTATCACCTCATAGAAATCTCAAGCTCATAATCTAATTGTTAATTAGGGCAGATGTAAAAGCAAACCCCACCTCCATTTCTGCTGTTTGGTGGTCGGTCGCAGCAAACAATATCATAACCATCAACGCTGACCTCATTATCGGCAATAATATCATGTAATTGAGTTTCATTGGTTGCTAACAAATCGAGGCATTTACTATGCAAATTGATGCAAAGCTCATCAATATGTCTCGGAAGACTAGTGATGTTTAAGCATGCCATTTTAAAGCCATGTTTGTTAGGAATCAATGTTTGAGAGTTAAAAGAAAAGCTATTACAAGGGGCAGAATGGGCATGAGAAGAAGGGTTTGAAGGAGACCCCTACTTACTTTTCTGGGGGGGTAAAATTCAAAGTACCTTAATAGGGTGGTTGCGGATATTAAATGGAATGGCCCAATCATACAGCACCAAACACAACTTTGCAGACACTTCAAATTTCAGAACAAATGAACAAATTTCCTTTAGATAAATATATTGATTCAATTGAGGCCTTGAGCTACTGTACTGTATTTTAATTCCAAGCTTTCGCCATTCTACGGCATCATCAGGGAATGAAAGAAAATCTCCCATAGTGCGTGATAGAATAGTGGTGTAGGTGACGCAAGTGATAGGATATATTAGGGACGATGGGTGTAAATATGGTGATAGAAGTATAGATCGTTTTCACATGACGTCATCAGATTCCAAAATTCAAAACTAAAGAGCCACAAAAATTTTTATCCTCATAAGGCATAAGGGGATCTAAACTTATATCTGTTTACGACTTTTCAGCTCAATAGCATGCTTGGTTTGGAAACCAGTGCCGTTTGAAGTTCAGAATTATGGCTGTGCGTGACATACCGCTCCAATTGCGCTTGTGGAAAAATATACACTTATCTAGTGATTTTTGCCCTTTTTAGGAGTTAAAGTGTTAGGTAAAGTGCTTGTTGGTTCAGTTCAGATAATCAGTCGCCCAGATAGCCAAAGGAAGTTCCTGATGTTTGCACTATTTTCCAGCCGCCATGTTGGTGGAGCACAGAGCTCCACCAACAAGGCAGCTCAATATTGAGCTCTGTAAATTTGCACAAAATATTTTGACAAATATCTGAAGTTTGGGAAAATGTAGAGACCCAAAAATTTAGAGAAGTGTCTCCTTTACCTGTTTCCTATAATATTAAAATTTATTTGACTTTATCCACTGAATAGTTTTCAATTTATTTTTCTGTTGCGTGACAGTGAAAACCATCTATATGATAAATTATATGGACAATAGTTAGTGAGTATAAGTGGTGAAGCGGTACAAATAAGGGAGTAAAAAAGAAAATTAAGCAGTTCAAGATAAAATGAAGTAAAATAATGAAAGTAAAATAAAAGTTCTATGAGTTCGATATTACATTCTTTTGGAAATATACGATAAAATGGATAGTCATTAATGAGTACAAGTGATGAAGCAGTTCAAAATAGTTTGTGAAGAATTATCGCTATAAAACAACATGAACAAAGACAACTTGACGATCAGCTTAAATCATCCCTGACACCTGACGTAGCTACCAAAGTCCGTTCTCAGAGATATTTTGCATATAACTCTACCAGCAAAATACACAGTGAAAGATTCCAAAAACTGTTAAATGTATCATTGCAGTAAGTGTCTTTCTTCTGTTGTGTTTTCTGTTGTAATTCCTTCATCAGAGCAGCAGGTTAATATTTCATCATAACATTTGATGAAGAAATAACCATGACAATCTGAGTATACTGTTGTACTATGGACTCCTATTTGATTATGAGTGGACAGTATACAAATGCTTGCCAAAGTTTCAGGGTATCTAAAGTGTACAATTCCTGATACCTGATGCATGCATTCTAACTGCATGCATGAATTTTTGTTCCAAAACTGACTGATACACATTGCTGTTGTTTGTTCAGGAACTATTCCAGATGAATCTAAAGCAGTTCAGTTGGCAGCGCCTGCAAGTGCTGTAGCTGGAGGCTTCACAGGATCATCAGGAGGGTTACTGCCCACTCCGCCAATACCAGCTCAGGTACAGCAACTGTAGCTACTACCCTTTCCACCATGCCAGCTCATATAGATACTACCCAGTCCACTATACCAGCTCATATAGATACAACCCACTCCACTGTACCAGCTCAGTCACACTAACACCTTATCTGCATGCTGTATACCTGTTCACCAGCTCATATAGATAATCCCCTGGCTTCTGTCTCTGACACTACAGGTACCTTTTACTTTTGAATTACCTTACATTGCTCCTTTTTCTATCATCACGCAAAAAAGGTTTGCCACTCTGACAAATGTTATTGTAACACCATTGATATTAAGTTAGTTTTCTCATCCTGTAAAATCTGTAGCATGTTTGGTGTGAAAGATCCTATCCCTCGTGGGCTCCATGTGGGTGTGGTATATAAGTTTTTGTGTGCGGGCTGTAATGCCTGTTATGTTGGCAAAACCACCCAGCATTTTTCCACGCGCATACGTGAGCACATGTTCACTGATAGGACCTCTCACATTTTCAAACACCTACAAAATTCTCAGCAATGTCACCCTTCATGCTGCAGTATGAATCCTAGATCACGCTTCCACCACCTTCCAGCTTAAGATAAAAGAAGCTATTCATATTCAATAGGAAAAACCTACACTAAATCATCAACTTAATCATATTAATTTAAAACTTTCTTTGTAATGTTCTACATTGTCATGTTTCCTTTTGTTCTTATAGTCAAATAGCATTTTTCATACACGATATATTCAACTCTGTACTTTGTAAGTTAAACTGAAGATGACAGAAGATTCTGTTGAAACATGTTTTTAAAAAACGTTGTGTTGTTTCTAAAATTTTAACGTGTCTGCTAATATCCAGACCTTTTGTCATATAGATACTACACACTCCACTATATCAGCTCAGGCACACTAGTGCACTATCCACACACTGTATACCTGTTTACCAGCTCATATAGATACTACACACTTCACTATACCAGTTCAAGGACACTAACACATTATCAGTATTTACACACTGTATACCTGTTTACCAGCTCATATAGATACTTCACACTTCACTACACCAGCTCAAACACACTAATGCACTATCAGTATTCACACACTGTGTGGCTGTTAACCAGCTCATAGAGATTCTGCACACTTCACTATACCAGCTGAGGCACACTAACACACCATCAGTATTTACACACTGTATACCTGTTTACCAGCTCATATAGATACTACCCATTTCACTATAACAGCTGAGGCACACTAACACACCATCAGTATTTACACACTGTATACCTGTTTACCAGCTCTTATAGATTCTACACACTTCACTATACCAGCTGAGGCACACTAACGCACTATCAGTATTCACACACCGAATACCCATTTACCAGCTCGTATAGATTCTACACACTTAACTATACCACCTGAGGCACACTAACACACTATCAGTATTCACACACTGTATACTTGTATACCAGCTCATATAGATTCTACACACTTCACTATACCAGCTCAAGCACACTAATGCACTATCAGTATTCACTCACTGTATACCTGTTTACCAGCTCATATAGATACTACACACTTCACTATACCAGCTGAGGCACACTAACACACCATCAGTATTTACACACTGTATACCTGTTTACCAGCTCATATGGATTCTACACACTTTACTATACCAGCTGAGGCACACTAACACACCATCAGTATTCACACACTGTATACTTGTATACCAGCTCATATAGATTCTACACACTTCACTATACCAGCGGAGGCACACTAACGCACTATCAGTATTTACAGTTCATCACTAAATTTTCTCCGATTCTTATTGGTTTAAATTGATCACGTGATGCGATAGTGTTCATCCACGGAGAGACACTATCAGCCCATAGTGCCCGTCCGAGGAAAATACCTGGATGGATAGTACTCGTCCATGAAAATATTTCTGTAAACAAGCGGGCTTATAGGAGGTAAACAATTGAAATTGTATTTAAAGGGTTTTTGTTTGTTTTCTTTTTCAAATTTTACATTTGGCTTTCACAGCTTTCATCTCAAAAAGTTGAAAAATTCAGTATGATTTTGTACTGGCGCGGAAAAAAATTTAGCGGTGAACAATTAAGACAATAGAGTGTTTATGTTTCAGAACTATCTGTCTGATAGTTGCCCCTTGGAAATTTGATGTTCTTGAAACTAGCATATTTGCCCTCGACAGAAACACTCTATTGTTCAATTACACACTGTATACCCATTTACCAGCTCATATAGATTCTACACACTTCACTATACCAGCTGAGGCACACTAATGCACTATCAGTATTCACACACTGTATACCTGTTTACCAGCTCATATAGATTCTACACACTTCACTATACCAGCTGAGGCACACTAACGCACTATCAGTTTTTACACACTGTATACCTGTTTACCAACTCATAGAGATTCTACACACTTCACTATACCAGCCGAGGCACACTAACACACTATCAGCATTCACACACTTCACTATACCAGCTGAGGCACACTAATGCACTATCAGTATTTACACACCGTATACCTGTTTACCAGCTCATATAGATTCTACACACTTAACTATACCAGCTGAGGCACACTAACACACTATCAGTATTCACACACTGTATACCTGTTTACCAGCTCATATAGATTCTACACACTTCACTATACCAGCTGAGGCACACTAACGCACTATCAGTTTTTACACACTGTATACCTGTTTACCAACTCATAGAGATTCTACACACTTCACTATACCAGCCGAGGCACACTAACACACTATCAGCATTCACACACTTCACTATACCAGCTGAGGCACACTAATGCACTATCAGTATTTACACACCGTATACCTGTTTACCAGCTCATATAGATTCTACACACTTAACTATACCAGCTGAGGCACACTAACACACTATCAGTATTCACACACTGTATACTTGTATACCAGCTCATATAGATGCTACACACTTCACTATACCAGCTGAGGCACACTAACACACTGTCACTATTCACACACTGTAACTTGTATACCAGCTCATATAGATACTACACACTTCGCTATACCAGCTGAGGCACACTAACGCACTATCAGTATTCACACACTGTATAAATGCACTATCAGTATTTACACACTGTATGCCTGTTTACCAGCTCATAAAGATACTACCCACTCCACCAATACCAGCTCATTGCCCTCTCCTCTTTCCTTTCATTGTATTTTATTTTATCACTGCTGTATTCCAATCTTGAAGTGGAGAAATGAAATACAAGTACATTAAAATGTATTGGTAAAATATTTGATCACCAAATTTGACACAGAAATTTCAAAGCACCCAAAGTGATTGTTTAGCAGTCTTCACACAGTTCTGAGGAGTGATGATAAGGCAGACTTACTGTAGTTCTCAATGAGGGGTCCCATTAAATGCATATATATTAACTTAAAAAAAGTGCCATCAGTCATTTTGGAGTTTGGGATCATTATCTACATATTGCTAAGTAGAGATGTTTTTTTTTTAATATTTGTTCTTGTCAATAGTGTATTTTGAAAGTTTATATTCTTGCTATACACTTTGCTGTGGTCAAATTTAAAACAGTGCTATGCACTTACATATTTTGGCTAAGGATGTGTGAGAAGATCTATTTAGAAGAAACTGTGTTATCTTGGATGTAGGGTTACAGTTAAATATATTTTGACACCTTGTACATGGAATTCTGGTGAAATATATACTCTAATTGTTTGGATTTGACTTTCCTTTAGGTTCCTATTGTCCCAGGTGTAGTTTCTACTGTCATTCCTGGGGTAAGAATACCTGTCTAGTTTAATATTAAATATTCCACAACCTCATCCCCAGGGCCTTCTCATTGCCAATTTTCAAAATGGCGGCTCATTGGGAGAAGACCCTGGCAAAGGCTGGGTCACGTGGTACAAAGCCTCCAAAAATCTTGGAGATTTTTATCACATGAAATTTTGAAAAGACCAGAACAAAATGGCAGCTAAAATTTAGTTCAAAATTTACCTTAGAATGCAGAAATGTTATGCATGAGGCAGTGATGGCTTCCTAGAAATATAGCACATTATTTTTGCCGCGTTTTTGAAATCAGGTTGAATCTGGAGCGCTACGGTACGTACAACTGACAAATGTAAGTTGCCTGTTTGTAAGCTTACTTTACATGAAAGACTGTAACTATTTGAAATAAAGAAGTTTATAGTTAATTTTCCTACAGTGCTTTCAGTTTTTATGAAACTCTCAATTCTGATTGAACTTAAAAATATACACTGAGCTGAGTGACTCAAAATGAGTGGATTTTTTTTTTTACCTAAGCTTAAGTTGCATTGAGTTTAATTTTCTACCCTAGTGGCCACTCTTGTTGCATAATGTTTTGAATCCTGTTGATTATTAGACTCTTTTTTGAGTAAAGTTAACCCGAGATCAAACCTACTCTAGTAAATATTTCTGCCTGAACTGTGTTGTATGGTTTTCCTTTCCAAATGAAGTATATGCATTCAGTGGCTGAATGCATGTAATGAGTTGATGTCAAGTAAGTTAACTATTGTTCACTGGCATAAAATTAAAAGACATAGTGTATTTACCTTAAAAGCAGTCAAAAGTACACAATTGTTCCAACTTTATATTGTCCCGTCACAACACATTTTGCTTCTCATTTCTGCTGAGTTAATTTCACTTTTATGCAATAACAGTGATCAGCTCCCAAGAACTGTTTTGGATTTGGGTGTACATTTTCAAAGTGAAGCTGTTAGCACCAACTACCAGAAGAAACATTCTAAAATAAACAAAATTTGTTACCCCATGCAGTAGTTTTTGTGTTTGTGTTTCTCCAACCAGGAGAAGAGCAGCCTCTCCCTTGTTGTGGATGAAAATAAGAGAATTGTGGAAATAATACTGCCCTCACCTTAAAAAAAGGTCTCAGAGATCCCTCACCTTGACAGAGTATTTCTTTTCTTACTTTCCAATAATTTTTATGAGAATATAAAGACTGAGATTACCATTCTAGTAATTATGTGTAATGAAACATGCTGTTGGAGGTTGCAGCAATACAGGATGCATAGAATAGAGTATTTCTCTTCGTTCAATATCTCTATCTCCATAAAACTCAACCAGAAACAAGAAAAGGCCAAAGAAGTGGTCTGGTCTGTGTGAAGCTAAAGCCGGGGAGCCATCGAGGATTTCTTCGATCTCGGGTTCACCTAGAGATTTTCATGGCCTGTATATTCTTCTCTATCTCTAGTAGAAGGCTTGAAATTGTCAAGGTACTGCATAAGATGCGAATTTGGGATAAGCTGGAAGCCATCTGACTGTTTCGAGCGCAAACGATCCTCCGAGTTCCAGACAAAACTATAGGTGAGGAAATTACATGACAAATTGAATGCGTCATGTTTATGTGTACTTGAAATAGAGACTTTTCTGAAGGAATAGTAAACGAAACTTACGTTTTACAATTAAGGAGGCAAATAAGATTGTTGAGGCTTCGAAGTGGTGAGCCATGTATTTGTGGATTTTAATAAAAACGCAAGCACACCAGAGGTCGTAATCCGGCCGTATTTCTCAATGGCCATTCCGAATACAGAAGTGTTTTGTTCTTTGAGTTTCATCTTTGAGGAACGAAATATATCTAAATTACAAACTTAGAATGGATCAAGCATTTATAAATATATGAGGAAAGTGAAACAAACAATTAAGATTCGACTCTACAGCTACCGATTGTTGTGCTGAAAGAAGAACGTGCTTGTCAGTCAACTGAAACACAAACTAATAAGTTGAGGACTCCCAGGTTATTAGCGTACGTAAAATGGACAATTCATTCAAAATAACAGTGAAGTAGAAATGTATTAATTTAACTGATACAATACTGAACCTCATTTCAATATCTCTTATGTTAACAACTATTTTCAATCATTGATTTGGAGAAGTAGGCAGGAGTGGACTACGACTGAATCGCATTTTATCTTGTATTTCGGGGGAAATTAATTTCTGAATCCAAAAAATGTTTGACACTCCGAATCTGCTTGTTCAGTGAAGTTAAATTGCTAACTCTTCGTGTTCATTGACATCTTTATAACTCTTTAAGAGCTGTAACCTAACTCTTCAGCCATTATTTGTACCTTAACAACCCAACTGGACCTGCAAATTGTCGATCCTGGCCTAAATATAATACAATGCAGCAATCTTGACTGGTGACCCGCACTTCGAAATGGAAAAAAATGTCTACATCGCAGCCGTCCAAATCGTAGCTACACTGTAGACTCTGAATTTTAATGCTAGATGATACAGTTCTTTCACTTAGATATCTTGTGCAGTTTTGGTACAATATGAATCACAAATAACCCAAAAATGTTTTGACTGCCCTCGAAGCTCAGTCTGAAGTCTCTTGAGTGTTTCAGCCCAGTTCCCAAAGTGACGTCACTAGTAGCCCGACTCAGATCCCACTTTGCGCAGCCGTGAACATAGAAATTGCATGATTAAATGCCTGTAGAAACGCAGGGATTTTATCAATCAAGAATTTTTTTGCTGAAGTAATCAGGGAAACTGGTAAATTTTATTAAAGAAAAAAAATTGTGGAATTAGTGGCACTTTCAATATATAGCACATATTTTTGCAATGTGTGGTTCCAGAAAATATCCATACCCCCTCCCCCCACAGAAGGAATTGGAAATATTCCAGAGGGGTGGGGGGGGGAGTCCACAGGCCCAAGAAAATCCAGAGAGGGGTGGAAGAGAAACCGATTCCATAATTCCCATCATAATGCTCAATTTTCGTTTGTTTGCATTTAGCTACCCAAGCCGGGGACGAAAAATTAATAGCACAAAATGAGTATGTTCAGCATGGTTTATAGGCTTGATTTCTATTGCCACATGAGCAAGCAGCTGGTGAGCGAAGTCCATGTTGGTGAAAGTACACAAGTAGATGCTGTAAATTTGAATTGCTTGGATGACTGCCACACTTACTTAGCCAGGTGCTTTTGTCACTACGAACTGTATCGTCTTTGGTGGCAGATATTTACCCTGCAGTTAGTTGTTATGCATTAGCCGTCTGCATGGAAAATGCGTCCTCTAGTACAAAAACAGCCAATATATATCAAACACTTGGGAGAGTGTTTAACCACATACCAAACACCATAAATTGCATCAAAAACACAGAGCTATGCTGTGCTACAATACAGTTATGTTTCAACCCCTAACCTAAACTGCATTAAATTCTTTATTTCTCTGAACAGCACAACTAGCCAAAAAGCAACAAAAACAGCACTAGCTGAATGGTCAATGCTAATAACATTTCTGCAAGACATTATGTGCATTGCATCAAGTCTTTAAACACTGCAGGCTGGCTCTAAAATTACTTTAACACCATCCACACACCAAATACATTTGACAACAGAAATGTCATACATGTATGCTATAATCTAGAATATTCACAAGGATATTTTAAGCCTAAAACTTGCAGAAAAATATAAAATATTCAGCCTGGGCCAGAAAAACAATATTATTATTAGAAAAAACGAGTGTATTTCAAATAGAAATTGGATAAAGCCCGATCCTAATACAGATGGAATATGTGTCCGCAAACAACAGATCAGACACGATCTTCTGTAGAAAAAACAAGGGTCACAAAAAAACAAGCAAAAGCTCCTTTTAGATTTGAAATTCAAACATAACAAACCATTCACACTCTCTCATCCCACTCTAATTTGTTTTCGTTTGCAGAAAATCTAATAGTGCATGAATATAGAACAAAAAACAGCACATAAGGCCGCTTGTGACAAGCTGCAGTTTGCTAGCTGTAGGCAGATCTGTACTTCAATACAATCTTTTAAATGCTCGTTATTCACATTTTCCCGGGCTTATTTCTACTTCTATGGTATTGGTTACATCGTGTAAATTAAAAATCTAACGAATAGGATTCACCTGTCAAATTGTTAACAGCAGCCTGATTCAACATTGCATGAACTGAACTGCAATACAACCTCCTGTAGCCTGCGAAAACAGTGGTCCTTCTTCACTCCCGGCCAGAGTGGCGTTTCGCCACTTGGAACGGGAGCGAAGAAGGACAACTGTTTTCACAGGCTAAACCTCCTGTATCCCTTTCTTTTTCATATAAACACTCACCAAGTCCACCATATTTCTTTAGGATGCATTTATACCAATCAGCCTGGTTGTATGAATGGGCCAATCAGTAAGGGTGTTAGTTCAGCATTGCCAAGGGTATTCTCCCATCCCGCCATTTTGAAAAGTGTAGAAGGCTCTGGGGACGAGGTTGAAATATTCCAAGCTTTTTTTGGTAGAGGGGTGAGGGCATGTTACAACCTCCTAGGGTGATAGACCTTTTTCTATTGCAGACTCCAGCTGCAGCCTGTAATGAGAAATGTTTACTAAAGCTCACGTTAAAACTACTTTCAGAGACACTTGGTTTAAATCTTGATGCTTATTAATATGTATACAGTTAGGTTATCATATGAATGCTAGTGCAATTAAGGATTTAGACTATGAGTGACATTTTAAAATTCTCCTAAAATTGCATGGCAAGTGCAATTTGAAAGAATTTTAAATCACTCATAGTGTAAATCCTTAATTGTGTTGGCCTTCATACAATTACTCAGTTATGATGAGAAATTAACACTGCAACAGCAATTAGAAAATTAATGATAAATTGGCCTGCTCTCAGCCAATCCAACGAAATCTGAATAATATTGTGTTATTTATATTTTTTTAAATATATTTGACCGCATAAACTAATGTGTTCTTTTCTGATGTTAAACAGTTGGCCACTGCCCTGACTGTACCTGCCCCATTACCTCCTCCACCTCCTCTCAACAATGTGGACCCCACTAAAATTGATGAAATACGCAGGACAGTCTATGTTGGCAACTTAGACACGACGGTAATGATATAGGTGGTTTACAACAATATATGTGGTGCAATATTTTGCTCTGACAGGCCATGGTCATCTCATGTGGACAAGTTTGGTTTTGTTCATATTATAAACTAACTTCTTGCCCTAAGTGACTGGACAGTGTGGATTAGCCATGGTAAATGTAGTTTAAAAGTCAGCTGGAAATGTTTGTGCATTGTGGAAACATTCATACATGAATGACTGCTGGGAACAGCGCTTTTCCCTTTGCCTGACTTCTCCTTGTTATATAATCCACAGAGCTTTAAAGAATTAAAGCCCTCCCTGACTAACTCTGCCCTTGAATGTTAATTTAAATTCTTGTCAGCACAGGATCTACTTGAGCTTGTAACACTTGCCATGTAGCTCTCTGGTTGATCTAGACTACAACAAATAATTCTTTGTTTGTGTTCGGGAGGCATAACTATATCAAAAAGCTTTCGCCATTTGTCAATGTTACTGATTACATCTAAGCACCGTACACAACTAATTTTCTTTGAGGTAGGGGACTGAACCACTCAAGAAAGTTTTAGCGGAAATCACGTCTGCTTTTGAGACAACTGCTCACGAAGCACATAAAAAATGAGAAATGTTAATCATGTTATGGGCACCAGAAATGTATGCTGTGATTCTCATTCCTACATGTACAAGTGAAACAAGGAGACCTTTTGTGTATTGACATCTTTCATGCTCGTGAGTTTGTCGCTCAAAGATTGCTGTTGAGTGAGGCAAAAAATTAAGCAAAGGTTGATTTGTGGCAAGTCTATCTTGTGTATTAAATTCCACAAGTATGCCAACTCCAATATTATTCCCAAACGTTCAGCGTAGCCTTTTGGAACTGTTCCCAGTGCATTCATAAAATTGAATCACTTTGCTGAGACTTCACACAGTTCAAGACTAGGAATTGGAAAAATGGAGAAAAATTGCACTATTTAATTATTATGATGCTAATTTACAGTTTATCAAGCTGGAAAGGTTCTTATTATAGTATTGTTGTCGTTTTATTATAATATTGATAAAGCTTTAATCAATTAAATTTCTACGCAGCTCTCTGCAGAGCAACTTATGGCATTTTTCTCAGGCTGTGGTGAGATCCGATATGTAAGAATGTCCGGTGATGAAACCCAACCCACCAGGTAGTCATCGCCAGAGAAGTGTTTTCTTAGTATTAGTTTTCATTCACTTAGTTTTCATGTATTTATTTCTCATTTAGAAATGTTAAAGTGCAAATTATAAGGATGCAATGACATTGTAGTGTGTGACCTGGCAATGTTTTGATTGTGTTGTCAGGGAAATTATTTGCATTAATTGTTTTTTTTTACTTTTCAGATTGGCACTGTAATACCTTTTTTTGTGTGTGTGCTATTCAATCCTCTTGATCAAATGGGTCCAAATGGGTCCTTGAATGGCATTTCTCGATCCTAACAGTCAGCCATTCTTAAATATCTTGCTTATTACAGGTTTGCATTTGTTGAATTCTCTGAGGCTGGTGCAGTGAACACAGCTTTACAGTACAATGGAGTGATTTTTGGTGGCAGGCCTCTCAAGTAAGATTTTAGCCTTTACTGTGAATTGTTAAGAATTTTTTTCTGTTCTGAACATGTTATTAATAGCCAACGTGTAGGCAAAGATGTCATTGAAAAATCTGCAAATTAAGTGTTATTAATGGTAACCCTACACATTGAAACTACTAACCCAAACCTGATGCAGTGGAACACCCCACTGGCACATCCTACCCCCAACCCAGCCACAAGCCCCACAAGCCTGTCTACCCCTGCCCTAACCCTGCACGTGCCTGGCAGTCATTACATCCTTAAATCATAGGTTCAGTGGAAATAGTTCAGTTGACAAGAAACGCAACCAATGAAAACATATCTCTTATAAAAGAAAGGCAACAAAACAGTACTAAAACATTGTTTATGCTTTGGTATCTCTGATTTATTTTTATTCCAAATTATGGATATATCTGTGTGCCATTTATAGGGTTAGCCACTCAAAAAATGCAATTGTGAAGCCAGCATCCAAGTCCTCAGATAAGGACCGGAAAGATATTGACAAAGCAATGCGACGTGTTAAAGAAGCATCTTCTATCATTGAGGATGAAATAGATCCTGGTATGTCCTATTAAGTGTCAGTTTTTAAAAATACATATATGTAAATAAATATATTTATTTTATTCAGGGGCATCCCTGCCCTGGAACAATTGTTGTTGTTGTTGTTTTTTTTTTTCTTTTTTTCTTTTTTTTTTTGGCTTTCATACCCCTTCCTCCTCCTCCCC